TATATATATATATATATATACACACACACACCTTTATTTATTTATTCCGGAATTTTCAGAAAAGTCCACTTTCATCTCTGATGTCAGTAAAAGTATCACTGTGACCAAAGACTTGTCCTTTTCACTCCGTAGGACTACTTTGACATAGTTAAGAACCCAATAGATCTATCTACAATAAAACGCAAGCTGGATACAGGCCAGTACCAGGATCCATGGCAATACGTTGATGATGTCTGGCTGATGTTCAACAACGCGTGGTTATACAACCGCAAGACATCACGTGTGTACAAGTGTTGCTCCAAGCTGGCCGAGGTTTTCGAGGCCGAGATTGACCCCGTCATGCAAAGCCTGGGCTACTGCTGTGGGAGGAAGGTATGGAGTAGAAAGAAAGCGATATATTATTCTGACACATACTATAAATGAGACACATTTGGATGTCAAAGATTAACATATGTTAGTTGCATTAAATCAGACTTGGGTTTTCCTTTTGAGAAGTTTTGACCGTCCTTTTTTTTCCCGTTTTTTTGCAGTTTGAGTTTTCACCCCAAACCCTCTGTTGTTATGGGAAACAGCTCTGCACCATCCCCACTGGAGGCACATACTACAGTTACCAGAACAGGTACTCATCAGACCATTTCTGTGGTGTGACAAACAAAAAATACAATCATTTTAATCACACCTCAAAAACCCCTGCCGTCTGTGACGCCGTCATTTTTCAAACAAGACAACCAGAGTGATCAGAGCATCCCAAAATGCTCGATGCATTTGTAAGCAGTCCACATAACACAACTGGGAACAACTCGCAGAATGCTGTACATTCAGTGGCAAATAATTGCAAAAAAAAAAAATTGCATTCCCTTTAATTTATCCAGCTCATTCAGTCTGGTTATTTGAATCATGTTCTACTGCACCCCCTGCAGTATCAACCCAGTAATGACATTGACATTTTCGACTGTGACTACAACTTGATCAGAGAGCAGCTTTCCAGAAACCCTTTTCTCACATCACACAATTTTACCTGCCCATAAGTAATTATGGACTTAGTCTTAAATTATGTTGTGTTAGTTTAGGAATTCGCGGCGCTAACATTTCAGTTACAATTTAAACAATGTGAAATGTTCACTCATCCAGGTACCATTTTTGTGAGAAGTGCTTCAATGAGATTCAGGGAGAGAGTGTGACATTAGGAGATGATCCTGCACAGCCACAGACGTAAGTAAACACACTAATAACAAATGTACAGGTGATGGCCCACTCAGATACATTATGAAAGCTCATGTAACTCACAGAGCAATGTATTACTCGTGGTGTTGGAATTATGTCCTTGATATTGACGTGGTCATAGAATAGATTTTTTTTTCTCAGGCATTAATGCCTGTAGTTATGATACTAACTTGAACTTTAATAGTACTCGGTGAAAGTTTTTAGGGCAGCCTGCGTCTACGAGACAAGAATGATGGATGAAGAGCATTGTTTCACTGTCACTGAGACAATTTATGTATATTCTTTATTTCCTCACCTCTGTTCTTCTTTCCCATTTTCTGTATATTCCCCGTCAGGATGATATCAAAAGACCAGTTTGAAAAGAAGAAGAATGATGTACTGGAACCTGAGCCGTAAGTCGACACACACCTAAACACCTTTTTTTGGGGAACACCTTTTTATGCTTATATTGCTACTTTCTTTTTCTTTAACTTAATTACCTCAACTCTGTAGCAATATACAGTACTATGACGGGATGCTCAAAACATCTTCCTGCCCAATGAAACAATAAGAGGCTTATTGTTTCAAAGGTCTTATGAGCAAGCTGATAATTGTTTTCTTGCAAGTACACATATCTAATGAGTGATGTTTGTTATAGTCGTTACCTTAGCAGTTATCAACATTTGCAAGCCATGCTGTCAGGATGTTGATCTCATGATACATCTGCCGTATGTTTGCTTCTCTTTAGGTTTGTTGAATGTAAAGATTGTGGACGGAAGATGCACCAGATCTGTGTCTTGCACTATGAGGTTATTTGGCCATCTGGGTGAGAACTCAAACCTTTCCAAAATTGACATCATTCTAAACGTTTCTTCTTCTTCAATGCATGAGTATTGTATCTCACCCTCACGATTGACAGATTCATCTGTGACAACTGCTTGAAGAAGAGTGGAAAAACACGGAAGGACAACAAGTTCTCAGCAAAAAGTTGGTACCATTTTTATCACAATCACCTGTCATGATGCATTGTTTCTTATTGCAGCATGATGTGAACCACTTTCATCAGTATCATATTTTTGTTTGTGTGAGTGAGTTGTGTGCACAATCCTTTCAATGAATTGTGGAAATTTTCACAATTTTCCATTCAAAATCCCAAAATATTTTCCTTGTGCATTATACTGTAGGGCTACAGTCAACACGATTGGGAATGTATATAGAGGATCGTGTGAATAAATTCTTAAAGAGACAGAACCACCCGGAAGCTGGAGAGGTGTTTGTGCGGGTGGTTGCAAGCTCTGACAAAACGGTGGAGGTTAAACAAGGCATGAAAGCAAGGTGAGAGCATGACTGTCAAGTGCATTTATTCAATATGGGGCAAAAATCCCACAATAGGAAATAATTACTTCACATCAAATCATGTGTGCCACAATTATTAGCACCCATGATGTTATTAATAGAACCTCTTTACCCCAAAAACTGAAAAATAATACATGCTGATGAATTGCTGTCTTAATTGGAGTATCAAAGTTTTATATGAAGTAAAAATAGACAGGGACTCGAGTTACTATATTCTCAAAATGTTTTACTGTCAATAAGAAGTTGGCTTGCAATTTTGGGAGTAGCAGAATAACAGGCATGCATGTTTACGTGTTTTCCTTTTATTCTTTTTTAAAACCTTTCATAAATGCAATAATTGCCACATAACTGCTTTAAATTAATTATTGCTTGCTAAAATGTATACATCAAATTAAAAACATTATTATATTGCAGTGTTTTAACCTAAGGGCAACTTTATGCCAACACAAATCATCAAAATTTTAAATTTAATTATGCTTTAAAGGTATTGGTGGGTGGGTTTGGTCCATTATTACACACAATACATATTTGAAAATAAGATAAACATACTCAACAGGATACATATTTCCCACTTTTACTTTCATCGCACTTAATCAAATAATTGTTTTCCCTTGACAATTTTAGGTTTGTGGATACAGGTGAGATGCCGGAGACCTTTCCTTACAGAACCAAAGCACTTTTCGCCTTTGAAGAGATTGACGGCGTCGATGTGTGCTTCTTTGGCATGCATGTTCAGGAGTATGGCTCTGAATGCCCAATCCCCAACACTAGGTCCGTGCATGTAATTATTCAGCATACCCGTCCGTCTGCAGTGGCAGGGGGACTGCTTTGGGTGGGTTAAATGATTTAAATCTCCCAATTCCCTATCTTCACAGACGAGTCTACATATCATACCTTGACAGTATTCACTTCTTCAAACCTCGAGTTTTAAGAACAGCTGTGTACCACGAGATCCTTATCGGCTATCTAGAATATGCCAAGAAACTCGGGTAATTGTTACACATACATATATTGCATATATTTTGTTGACTTCACAAGCAGTTCTTAGGTCTAACCTTTCGGTGTGTGCTTGTGTGAAGCTATGCTCAAGGCCACATTTGGGCGTGTCCACCAAGTGAAGGGGATGACTACATCTTCCACTGTCATCCCCCCGAGCAGAAGATCCCCAAACCTAAGAGGCTTCAGGACTGGTATCGGAAGATGCTGGACAAGGCCTTCGGAGAAAGAATCTTGCACGACTACAAGGTAAAGCATCATGACGACTACAGCCACCAATAACACAGTAAAATAACTGAAGGGTTAACAACATATGAAAATTATACTGTATGTACTACCGAGTTAAGCTCAGATAACCTAAAACAATGAGTTAAGTAGTCACAAAAGAAGAATGTTAGGCATCAAACAAAGGAGTCATAATCAGTTAAATGCCAGACTAAAATGGTGGGTCTTCAGCCTCCTTTTAAAAACTTCAATGCTCTCTGCGGCCCTGATGTTCTCCGACACGCTATTCCACCGTCGAGGGCTGCATGCAGACCTGGAATGACGCCTCCCAGTGGGTCTTAGAATACACTCTGTGTATTTCTAAAAGGCCAGTACTGGAGGACCGAAGGGCCTGCAAAGGTTGATGTGGTAAAGAAGAATTTCTACATAAGGGTGGCCCAGACCGGGAAGTGTTTTACAAATTAATAAAAGACTCTTAATTAATCCTAAAACCCAGGGCGAGCCAATGCAGGGCCTCCAAAACGGGTGCTGTCTTTCTGGTCCTAGTTAGCTGCTGAATTCTGTGGAAATTGTAAGTTACTAACAGTTGGTTGAGGAATACCAGAAAGCAGAGCATTACCATAATCAATGCGACGAGAGATAAAAGCATGGATTAGCACCTGTGTTCTCTCAAAAGGGAAGCGGCTAGACTCTGCTGCCCGAAGCTGGTGCCAAAGCAGTCTGTTAATTGGTCCAAGGAAGGATGTTGAAGTGACAGAGAGTCAAGTTTTGTATGTTGGGGAGGGGCAAAGTTGAGTTTGTTTTGAGTTTTGTTGGTGTAACTTGAGACGCTTCACCACATGTGCATGTATATGCACCCTGAGGTGTATTTTTTTCCCCCAAATCAAATCATCTGTCAGCCATTTATTTTGAAGGGTATTCTTGTAAAGACGAGTTTAAAGTATTACACTGTTTCGGGGTCATAACTTGCGGTATTGTCAGTTTAAGATATTATTGGCAATTCTAAATAAGTAGTGGGGTGTAGTGACTTCTATGTACATAATTGTTTCCACAGGGGCCTCAATTACTTTAGCTTAGTTTTCAGACTATTTGCGGCATGGCGTGGTTCGTATACCTTGCGAATATATAATGCTTCACACTACTTCAAACATTTGCTTTTTTTCCTTTGAATACATCGGACTCTGCTCATGCTTTTTGTCCTCCATTCAGGATATTTTCAAACAGGCAACTGAGGATCGTCTAACCAGCGCCAAGGAGTTGCCATACTTTGAAGGAGACTTCTGGCCCAATGTTCTGGAAGAAAGTATCAAGGAGCTTGAGCAGGAAGAGGAGGAGAGAAAGAAGGAGGAGAACACGGCTGCCTCTGAAACTCCAGAGGTATGGCAACAGTCGTAAACTTGTATTGTTTTGTTCTACAAGTGAGGCATATGCACAAAACATGACGTCATGTGGCGCAGTGTTTACAGAAGTAAATGTGGTTCAGCATGTAAGATAAGATAAGATAATCTTTATTTGTCCCACACTGGGGAAATTTGCAGTCTACAGCAGCAAAATGGGTCGGGGGGGGGGTAGAAAAGAAAAAAAAAGTGTTGCATGCACAAAATAAATAAATGTAGGGGCTTATCCTTGATAAAACTAAAGTAAACATGGAGTGACAGAGGAAAACCTATTTAATTTTGAGTCATGTGTCATTTATGATCCAGCTGGTACATGTACATTTTCATACTTGACTATCAAGGAGCTATAAGACTTTCCTCGATTTAAAATAGCCCATGGGAAAACGAATGGAAAGACTGATCCATCTGTTCAGCCATTCACGGTGACTGACATTTTATGCAGCAGTGCCACCTGCTGTCGACTGAAATTGATGCCAACGTGCCGACGGGCTCACCTTGCAAACAAACGTTACGGCTCACCTGTTTCCTGGGTTTGGTCACGTGATGTTCACAAGACGAGTCTATGTGCACTTTGATGTCTATTTCAGTTGACCGTAGGAGGTGGCGACACATACCAGTAAAATAAACCAGTGGATTAACAAATTCCACAATAGTTATATTAATCACAATACTGTTCAAACTTTTTTTGGTTTCCGACAAGAATTTTCATTTCGGTGCATCCCTATTTATAAATATCCCAAGTCCTCTCTTGTTGACTATTATGACAACATACTTAAGGTAATAATTGCATCTGGTAATGATATGCTATCTTGAGGTAACAGATGTTAATGCTCTTACTGTATATTCCTCTCAGGGTACCCCAAGTGACAGCAAAAATGCTAAGAAGAAAAACAACAAGAAGACAAATAAAAACAAAAGCAGCGTGAGTCGAGCTAACAAGAAGAAGCCTGGAATGCCGAATGTAGCGAACGATTTGTCCCAGAAGCTTTATGCCACCATGGAGAAGCACAAAGAGGTGAGACTCATGGATCACTAACGTACAAAACTGCTTTTGACCAAGACCAGACCTGACCTGCTTGATTCTATATTTGCAAATTCTCCATCTCCTGGTGAATAAGAATGTGTGTGTGTGTGCGTGCGTGCGTGTGTGTGTGCGTGCGTGCGTGCGTGCGTGTGTGAGATTATGCATTTTAACATGAAAATTGTTTCTTTGACTGCTGTAGGTATTCTTTGTAATACACCTCCACTCCGGCCCCATGGTCAACACTTTGCCTCCCATTATCGACCCTGACCCCTTGCTCTCCTGTGACCTGATGGATGGCCGTGATGCCTTCCTGACTTTGGCCAGGGACAAACATTGGGAGTTCAGCTCTCTCAGGAGGTGCAAGTGGAGCACGATGTGTATGCTCGTTGAACTGCACAACCAGGGACAGGACCGCTTTGTGTACACTTGCAATGAGTGCAAGCATCACGTCGAGACACGGTGGCACTGCACAGTGTGCGAGGTCTGTTAACCTTGTGAAACATGCCTCTTTTTCATTCAGATTTTCTTTTCCTTGTCGTTGTTTTAATGAAAAGTGGATGTCACTTGTAGTTAAATAAAAAAGCTTAGCGTTTATAATGCTTGGGGTAGACTCATGTTATTTATCTTGTTCCTGTCTTTCATTTCACAGGACTTCGACCTTTGCATTAATTGTTATAACGCAAAGGGTCATGAGCACCAGATGGTGAAATGGGGTCTCGGCTTGGATGATGACAACAACAGCCAGAGTGGCGAGGCCTCAAAGAGCCCACAGGAAAGTCGGCGTTTGAGCATCCAGCGCTGCATCCAGTCTCTCGTCCACGCTTGTCAGTGCCGCAACGCCAACTGCTCCCTACCGTCCTGCCAGAAGATGAAGAGAGTGGTGCAGCACACCAAGTGTTGCAAGCGTAAAACAAACGGTGGCTGTCCTGTGTGCAAGCAGCTTATTGCTTTATGCTGTTATCATGCAAAGAACTGTCAGGAGAATAAGTGTCCGGTGCCGTTCTGCCTGAATATCAAGCACAAGCTTCGCCAGCAGCAGCTGCAACATAGGCTCCAGCAGGCTCACTTGATGAGGAGAAGAATGGCGACCATGCAAGGCAGAACCATGCCGCTACCGTCCCCGCCGGCATCAGCTGCTCCAACAACTCCCACTTCCCATACTCAGCCCAGCACACCTCAGACCCCACAACAGTCGCTGTCCAGCCAGCCTCAGACCCCCAACTCTGCAGGTGTCATGTCTCCCTCGTTCCCCACTGCACCTCGCAATGGACACCCTCAAGCAGCTGTGCCCCAAGGTAAGCCAGGGCCCCAAGGCTCCCCTCTGCATCAGCAACCGTCCCCTGTTCCACAGCCACCTCAGCCACAACAAATGCAGCAGCAGCCTCCACTCGCTGCTGTCAAGATGGCACGCCACATTGAGTTGATGGCACAGGCCCAGCAGAACCAGCAAAACTATCTGGTCAACATGAACGGCTTGCCCATGAACCCCCAGCAGCCACAGCAGCGTATGACGGGACCAATGCAAGCCCCCATGCAGATGGTACCAGGGCCTCGGGGACCACAGGTCATGCAACCAAACATGGCCCCGGGTCAATGGCCTGGACCCGCAGGGCCCATGCAGGCTGCACAAACGCAACAACAAGGCCTTGTCCCAGGCCAGAACCCCCCACAGGCCATGACCATGCAGCGAGCCATGATGCCTCCGGGGCAGCAACCTCCGGGTCAGAGGATGCTCATTCCACAGCAGCCTGGTGCAAGGTCACAGGCACCGCAGAGACCTGGTGCAATAGCCCCCAATGCCCTTCAGGATCTTCTCCGTACCCTCAAGTCTCCCAGCTCACCCCAGCAGCAACAGCAAGTCCTCAACATCCTCAAATCAAACCCTCAGCTAATGGCTGCTTTCATCAAACAGCGAACAGCCAAGTACCACGCCAACCAACCACAGCAGCAGGCGAGTCAGCAGCCTGGGTTGCCCACAATGCAGACCATGGCCATGCCAGGAGGTACTGTGCAGAGGCCAGGGATGCCATCTCAGCAGCCTCAGCAGCCTCCTGCTCAGGGTTTGGCAGCAATGGGGGCTCAAGGGCAGCTGATGAATGCAGCACATAACACCAATCCGCAAATTCAAGAGCTCTATCGCCGGCAACTCTTAAGTCAACAACAACAGCAGCAGCAGCAGCAGCAACAACAGAGAGTGATGCCTCAGGGACACCCCGGCCAGTTCCCTGCCCAGACCCAGGGTACGGCAGCTACGTACTCGCAGCTCCGCATGCAACAGCAGCAGATGCAAGCCATGCAAGCAGGCGCAGGAGCAGCGGGAGGGCCAATGGGCCAGCTACCACCCATGGCTCAGATGGCACAGACGGGCATGGGAATGGATCCTGCCCAGAAAATGCTGCATCAACGAATGCTTCAGCAACAGCAGCAGCAGCAACAACAACAGCAGCAGCAGCAGCAGCATCTTCCTCAGCAGCAGGCCGTCCTCAAGCAGCAGATGACTTCTCCCGGCCAGCCCAGCCCCATGAGCCCCCAAACCCACTTGCTTGCCGGCCAGCCCACACTAGCTAACAGTCTCAGCAACCAAGTCCGCTCCCCTGCGCCCGTTCAGTCCCCATGTCCAACCTCGCAGCCACCACCACCACATTCCAGTCCCTCCCCACAGATTCAAAACCAGCCCCAGCCCTCACCGCAGCACCCGCCTCCCCCCCACTCCAGTTCCCCCCACCATGGACTTGGGGGCCCCCTTTCAGGGTCCATGGAACAGGGACACTTGGGGACACCAGAACAAAGCGCCATGCTACCCCAGCTTAACCCTCCTAACAGGGGGGTACTAAATAGTGACTTGAGCATGGTAGGAGATGCTACAGGAGACACTCTCGAGAAATTTGTGGAGGGATTGTAGCATTTCTGATCAGAAATGAAGAACTACAGCGTCTCAGTACTTGGGACCCCTCCTTAATTCTTCCTAACTTCCCTCAGACTCTTTATCTAAGAGGGCTTTGTTCTTTGTACTATTGAGATCATTTTTGTACCTGTATTAAAAAAAAAAAAACTTGTAAAAACAAAAAAGAGAATTTGGTAGAGGAAAAAAAAATAAAAGTCCAAACACCCCGTGGGAATTAAATATTCCTTAGTTAAAGGGGTTTTTTTTCTTCCTGAAAATGTTACGGGGTTTGCAATTCGCTTCTTAAAATGCAATTTAAGTCACAAAGAATATATTTTTTGGGTGAGACCAAATGTGTTCAATACTCAATTTATTTTTGGTTGGTTCTTGGTGTGATTTCATACCATCCTCCTTTTTTTTTTTTTTTAAGAAAATGTACAATTGCATTATATTATTCATATCTTTTGTACCATGGGGGGGGGCCAACCTTTTGTGTTTAAGTTTAGGCGCTGGGCCAGGTTTTTGTTATGTTCTCAAGCTGTCGTTCCTGGCATTTGTGGTCATGCGTTGTAACATTGCTCCAAGATAATTTGCTGAGGGACTGAGACCTATCTCTTCTGTGTGTATGAAGAGCACTCAGTTGTATTAAAATAGGAAATGGACTGTGGCAGGTTGTTTACACAGACATATATACAGGTGCACATGAAGACACCAACGCAAACCTCATGCCCACTAAAAGAATGACAGATCCTACTGGTTTTACAAATGCGCAAAATTTACAGCCTCCATCTCATATGCCTGGAAGTTGGAAACTTGTTTTCCAGGTGAAAAAAAATTACTTTGACATAAAAAAAAAAAGTTTTGTTTTTCCATCCAAATGTTGTAAACTGTAAAGCTAGTGGGAGAAAGAGACCAGTGACCTAAGTTGAGGTGCAATGATCATCTACCCTTTAAATTATACACTAAAGTGTGTGTGAAGAATGGAAACACCACCAAGATTCTCTTGGAGTCATCAAGGCTCATTCCTCTTACGCAAAAACTTGAATGGGTGGGAAGAGTTTGCTTTTTCTCCTATTGTAAATCCACGTATTAAGCAAAATACTATAAATATAAGAGAGAACGAAAACACTGTACAAAATGGTAAAAGGCTCGTTTCTTACTTCTATACCATATTGTTAAATAAACTGCAACAGATGAACTACAGAACTGTTGACTAAATCACAAAAAATCACTGCTATCCCTGTTGTATCAAGTACAACTTTATTGTCAAATGTGCACAGCACAGATGAAATTTCCTTCCTCTTAAACAGACAACAGGCAACAAGAGGAGCCGCTGTTGTGACGACCTCACGTGGTTCAAGGATGTTTGTCGCTTGATCCTCTTAAATTGCTTTATTCTCCTGAGCGTGAATAGAATGTACATTCATTCAAGAGCTGATATCGGCCACAGCTCAAGTCCAGTCACTGTACCCACTGACATCTTGCTTGGACTGTCATCTACAAAAACATCACAGCCACATTCAGAGAGAAACAAAGAGCAATGTCTGCCTTCTTTCACTCCGACAACTACTACAGTGCTACTACAGTGGACTCCCGCTATTCGCGGCGCATAGAGACCGGGTCGGATACAGAAATAAAGAAAATAGATTTGTGTTGTGGGATTGGAATCCGTGAATATGCATTTCTGCGCATATTCAGGGAGGGCTTCCACTGTATTTACTAAGAGCGCTCCAAAGCTTAACCAATGCTATTCGCTACAATATGGTGTTAATTTCTTTCAGCTCAACTTTCGTGGTAGAAATGAGATGGAACGTAATAGCTGCATTTAACATTTCTCGTGTTCCTCATTGATTTTTTTTTTTTTTTCCTTTACAACCACCTCACTAAAAGGCGGTTTGCGGCCAGGGACGAAGGACAGGAGGGGACTCGTCATTTCATTATTAGTGGCTGTGGAAAGTAAAGTACAGTATACTTTTTACATCAGCCGAACACCATACGACATCAAATCTTATTTAATTTATGGGGTAGACACACTGACTATTGACGATTTTAACTCGGTAATAATCAACAATGATGCTGTTTTTTCATTATTATCACTCGTCAGTACGCTATTGATTTTGCCAAGTCGGACACGGTATGGGGGTGCTGTATTTTAGAGCTGCTTGGACCAGTTAAGGCAGCGTCAAATCGAATTAGTTCTTGAAAGTCACAAAATGACAAAAACATTTAACATTTACTATATTTATTCTGTCTTCACACAAATGTAAAGATCAAACACATTCGTGGGCTGAACAGCAACAGGTCACGTGACCAGGGTGGCCCGGAAGTAAAACATGTCGTTTCCGGTCACGTGACCAGAAGTATTAGAAAAACGGTTTAGTGTGAAATGAAAACAAATCTCGGGTATTTTATGTCGTTGTCAACGATTCATAAATGTACTTAGTAAGTATGAGATGCAGCGTTGATGCTCAGAGTCAGATGAGAAGGCAATTCATTTACACGACTAGTTATCGACAATATTCCACCAGTATTGGTTCTATCATTTAGACAGATAGAAGTTTGGAATCTATATATGTATGTCATATATATTTATTGTCTTCCACAACAGTACCCGCGGATTCTTGAATCAGACTGCAAGGTACTGACGTGTTGGCTATCCATTATGGGTATTTGCCGACGCAGAGTACATGCCTGCGTGATTTTTTCAAGGTGACCGTTCAAAAAAAGGACCATAGTCATGAACGATTCGGACCAGGACTTTGTTGACCTCTGCTCAAAGCTGCTGAAACGTTCTCGCAAGAAAGGATTCGAGCCAAAACATAGGCGAGCCGACCAGCAGATATCTTGTCAGACCAGCGATGGAGACCAGAGAGGAAACGAGGAGAGCTCTGGGTCTCGGCGTGTCCAGAGCGAAGCACAACAGGTCATGGGAAACACGGGCAAGGTTGTGCATGATTCAGGAGATACTGTGTTAACCTCAACACAAACAACAGAACCGGGCTCGGGGACAAAAGACAAATTGCTCAGCAGGATGCAACTGTTCAAGAGAGCCAATCTGCCAAAGATGGTGCACGATGTGGATCATGGCAGGGTACCCTATCCTCCACTGTCAGTTTTGACTTAAACTCTGATTAGACTCACACAAAAGAGCATCAAACATCTGCAGCTGATCAAGAACACTGAAGCTCTGGTTCTGCCCAGAACAAATAGACTCTCTCTGTGACTTAGTAGTGTATAACATACAAATCCCAATACCAATTATTTTGGCATGTGATGTAGAGTGTAAATAAAAACAGAATACAATGGTTTCAACCTATAGTCAATTGAATTAACAACAAAAATATAATTTCTTCAGTTACAGGTTAAATCTAGTATATAATTTTGAACACCCATATTGTTGTTGTTTTTCCCAATATCTTGCAGCCCTAGTTAGTACAGCTGTCATCAATAAACCAATACAATTAATGCACAATGAAATGCACACTGGTCTGTCCCTAGAAATACTACATTCGTCCACTTCAGAGCAGCATCTGAGGACTCACGACGGTGATGAGGTTCTGGCCATGCAGCTGCAGCACCAACTTGACCATGAGGTGGCAGAGGTCCACACAATGGACTTGGCGGCTGAGGGTCTGTTCTTCTGTCACATCTGTCAAAGAGACTTATCTCACATGACACCCGAGCAACGCACGCAGCACATCAACAGGTCAGTCTTTTGACAAAGCAACAATTAAGCATTTGCCCCTTACTTGGATATTTAGGATAGTCTTCATGAAATATGGTAGAGCAGTGCGCACAGCCTAATAACAATAAACACAGCACAAAAAGTAAGGACATTTTGTTGGGTGGACTTATAATTTCTTTATTGCTATGATGTTTGTCTTATCTTCTTATTCGTGAAAATAGGTTTAAGATTACCTTTATTCTGACAATGGTCTTTTCGTGAAGAGAAAATCTCTTCCTGAGTTGACACTTTTGGCTGCCCCTTCAGCCTTCGTTGGAACTGTGACAAGCAGTGACAGCTCTGATTTTCTCTCCAATAAAATAAATAAATAAAAACCATGAACCTGTTTTATTTTTTCTTTATTGTAAATTTTACGTTAATGGGGTTTCTGACATCCCAGAGACAATAATTTTTAAAAATGACAAAAATAGAAATGTATGTTTTTCACAGGACAGTGACGATATGCTCCTTATTTAATGTTTTATCAGGATGCTTTTTTTTTAATACAAAAATGTGTACTGCTGGTAGGTGTTTGGATGACAGTGAGCATCAAATGGCTCCTCCTCCTCCTCCTCCTCCTCCTCCTCCTCCTCCTCCTCCTCCAAGTGTCCCTGACTGTCCAATTTGTGGCAAGAAATTCAAGTCGCACAAGAGTCGCTCCGTCCACTTGAAGCGTTGCTCGGCAGCCATGGGTGTCACTCCTGCCGACCTGCTGCAGGCGCTCCAGAGGCAGGCAGAAGAGACGCAAAGTGACGTGACCGATGCAATGTATGTCTGCAGCAGCCACACTTCACATCAGTCAAGCATGCATACTTACTTCTCAAGATTCTTGAGACTTGTTGACCCCTGTTTTAGATCAAAAGCTTATACTAATTGTTAAATTATGTAATACAATCCACATTCAGAGACAATCATCCACACACCTCAATTGAACCAAAAGAGTCGCTATTGGTAAAGAAAAAAAAAGACTAAATTAAATCAAACTGCATACCAGCTGACAAATACTTTGTTGAGGCACCGGATATTTCAGAATCCAATCTTTTAGTAAGAAGTCTATCAGCATGGCACACCCTGATTTAATTTTCACAATCTCATGTCTGTCAGATAAATGTAATCTAATGTGCACCGCTCTCTATTGGGCACTCCACATATTTCAGTTGGATTTAGAGCTGGACTCTGACCATTATCCTGGGGAAGCCATTCTTGTGTTGTTTTGTATTCTAGAGGTCATTGTCATGTCATGCTTAAATGTGAAATTCTTCTTAAACTTCTGCTTTCTAGCACTTGTCGGAGATTCTGGGCCAAAATTGACTGGCATTTGACACTGTTTTAAATCCTTGCCACTCTTAACTAAAGCCACAGTCACAGCTAAAGGAAAAGAGGCCCCAAAATGCAATTAGTTTTGTTTGCAGCAAATTTTGACAACTTCTTCAATTGCCTTAGCTGTATGGCCTCTGCTGTACATTTTTTCTGAGAAGGTTTAGAATTTTCCTGTCTTGGTCATATCATCAATAAGGCGGTACCAAATGAAGTAATTGGAAAGCAACGGAGGTTGGGGTGAAGCTGCCTTATTCAGTGTATTTATTTTGGTTCTTTCTAAATGTATTCTGAACCCAAATCTGTTGGGTTCCAAATCAATATTTTTGTAATGTTCAGTACACAGACTGGAGGCACCAAAAGGAAAGGTGTAACTGCAGGCGCAGCAGCCAGAAAGAAGCCCAGGAAAAAGGCTGAACCCCTGGATGAAAACACCATGGTGGCCCTGGCTCTGTCATCCTCCCTGTTGGAACAGGAGAGGGAGCAGCAGCATGCGGCAAGAACACAATCCATGGCCTCTGATTCCTCCATGATGCCTGTTTTGAAGTGGAGGACAGATGCGGGTATAGCATCACCTCTTTTTTAGTGTTTCGCAAGGTTATTGGGTATGTTATGATACAGCGGTTGTTCATTCAATACCAAGTTGAGACAATTGAGCATAATGCAGGACTTTTACTCTGAGATGTTATCTCGAGAGCTTTTTGACTTTGTGGTACAGGCTCCATATTTTTGTCTAGTATTTGCATGTTACTTTTAATTAATGCCATTTTACACAGTTGGCATGTCTGGCATACTTTGTCCAAATACTCCAAGGATCATGAATTATATCACATTTTACACTTTGAGCCGAAAGGGCGACCCCGTTGCAAGTAAGCCAGCCTTAATTCCACACCTCATACTTCTGCTCTAATGGTTTGGATTTTGCTACCATGATGACTAGGGGAGAGGTACGGGTACCTGTGTCTAGAGCCCTGAATAGACTGCACACTGCAATGCACACATGAGCCTAACAAGGCAGAATGGATGCTGTTTTCCCTCATGAAGGCTGCACTTTGTCACCAAACTGCAAACTGGTTAGGTACTCCTTACCGTGCAGACCTGTGCATGTGGTGCAGCAGACACAGACACGAATAATACCATCCCACCGGGCGGACAACTTTATTGCCCAATCTACATTCAACAAATTGACTGCAGCTTTTTTGACCTTTTGACTTTAGTGTTAAGTGGCTCAGGATGAACCATTACATCAGTATTTTTTGAAAACATAAGTGTGACTGTGACTATAGAGGTCAAATGATTTAATGGGAGAAGGAAGGTAGTATTTTGAACCTGTGCATTGAATGAGCTTGAGAAATATAGTCTGCCAATTCCTCATGTTGCAGGTAATGGGCGTGGTAAGAGGAAAAAGGGCACAGTTCCTCGTCCTCCTCCAATCCTGCTCATCCAGGATGCCGATGCGGCCCTGATGAGGCTGCAGGAACGAGTTTCTTCCCTCCTCCTACGTAGTCGAGCTCCTTCTCCGCCTACCCCAACCCGCTGTCCCAGCACCTTGTCTGCCTTGAGCGACGCTGCCCCGCTGTGGCAAAAGAGTGCATTGCTGAATGGACATACCACCAGTGTTTTCGACTTCTTCGTCCCGGAGCTCAAAGACTTCATCACACCGTGGGAATCAGCAAAAGTAAGATAACGGCTGTATAGGAGATGTTGGGATTAGTGAAAGCTCCTTTAGCCATTCGCACAGTGATTTGTAGTGTGGCATGTTATTAAGATTGACTCCCTCCTCATATTTTCTGTAATTTTTGTCGGAAATGCCACTGGCCCTAAAGGGTCATTTGTGTGTGTGTGTGTGTGTGTGTGTGTGTGTGTGTGTGCGTGTGTGCGCGCGCACTATACAAGTCTTTATCACCCTGATTATCAAGTAATAAATGATATTTGATTTTGATATTTGTGATATGGGTGGCCCGGTGGTCAACTGTTTAGCGCGTCCGCCTCACAATGCAGAGGTGCAGGGTTCGATTCCGACTCCGGCCTTCCTGTGTGGAGTTTGCATGTTCTCCCCGTGCCCGCATGGGTTTTCTCCAGGTACTCCTGTTTCCTCCCACATTCCAAAAACATGCGCAGCAGGTTAATAGGACACTCTAAATTGTCCCTAGGTGTGAGTGTGAGCACGAATGGTTGTTCATCTATGTCTGCCCTGCGGTTGACTGGCAACCAGTTTCAGGGTGTCCCCTGCCTACTGCCCGAAGACAGCTGGGATAGGCTCCAGCATGCCCCGCGATTTTTGTGAGGATAAGCGGATCAGAAAATGGATGGATGGATGTATATTTGTAATACCGGGTTACTTGTGACTCCATTTAGATTTTAGAAAACAAATTTGACTGCCTGGTGACAGGGTGTATAAACGCAATATACACTTTTCATTCTTTTCATTAGACATTATGTATGTTATACAGTATTCATTAGTTGAATGAAGTAAAATGGCCATGATTTATTGAACACTTCTCCAATTCTCATCAGTTCTTAACTTCTGCCTATAGACTCTCTCCTCTGCCTCCGAAACCAACGACAAGGCTTCCATCTTGTCCTCCTCCCAGACGCCCGCCTGCTCCTCAACCCCCTCCACTCCAACCACGGAAGATCTCCCAGCGAACAGTCAGGCCCTGCAAGACCTAGTGGAGCTGTCTGAAATGGCCCATGGTGACTATACTGCTCCTGTCCCCGGTAAAGGACAAAAAAATACCTCCAAAAAGTCTTCACTCTACAGTGTATTTGAGCACTTTGATTAATGTGGTTCAAATTTGACTGTATGTGTCCTGGGATTTACTAGTGACCAGTCCAGTGTGTAGTCAACCTCTTGCCCCAAATTGGCTGCGGTAGTCTCCAGCTCGCAGTTACCCCTATGGGGGGACAAGTGGTATAGAACATGGATGGCCTGATGATTTATGTGCTACGCAAACCAATTTCAAAAGAAAAAAAAATTGGATGCTCCTTACAAGGTATTTTCCTTGACATGTAGGTGCTAGTCCATAGTAATTTGCTAATTTAGCCCTCCATCCCTGAGCTACGTATTCTCACTCGGGTTGCAAGATTGTTAATTTAATTAATCAGAGAAAATATTTGATGTAAAATGGACTTTTATACCTTACCATATATTATGCCTGAACACTGCATATCTCAGGATCTTGATGCTATTATTTCTCATATTTGTAATAATCACAAGAATTCTTTAAGTTTATTATGAATGCACACATAAATTAGATAACTGATTCGTCAGTCACGTTCTTATACTTGGATAATTTAATCTGCTGTATTTGTCACAGATAATTTGTTGGGGTTTCTTACTTTATAATGTAATTCCCAAAGAAACATGCTTCCCAAATATATAGGAAAGCACTTTCATATGCATATTATATGTACACTGCCTAGTCACCTTTATTATTTGTGAATGACTCTCACTGTTAATTTTAATTATTTTCATACATTGTCATCAATGATCTGCCTACAGATAAAAACACAACCTTGTCCACAGACCTTCAAGTGAGTGGCTTCTTTCTTGACGAAACAAATGACATATGTGTGAGTGGTGGACCACCGGCAATGACGCACACCAATGCAGATGACTTCCAGAGCCAAGCAGGAAGGACTTTATGTCAGCCAGGAGCAAGTGAAGAGAGCAGAAGCCATTTATCAGTAAGATAATGCTTCAAAGTTTCCAGGCCAAAGTTTGGAAATCACAAAATGAATGCTCGGGTTCTTTCTGAGAGACATCTACTCCCTTGTTTTCTCTGCAGGTGGCGCTATCCACCCTGGCATCAAATCTGAGCAGCATGGTGAACAACCCTCAGCTGAGTGACTGGCAACTCCAGGTGGACAGTGGCCAAGTCTTCTATGCGCATTCCTTCATGATTTATGCACGCTGCCCCCTCCTGGCAGAAATGGTAACTGCAGTACAGTATGAAAAAGAATTTCGCCATTTTTTTCACAATTTATCAAAGTTTCCTGGTGTTGGAAAACAGCAACATACCCCTAAGAAACATCGTACATTTTACACACTTTATTTTTTTCCTTGCTTAAATCAGCTCCATTTTTGTCACATGGAAATGAGCCAGCTTTCATCTCATCCCGTATACTGCTGTGCCAATGGGAAGTCTGCTTTTCTCTAGCATTACGTCTGAGTGCAGCTCCTTCGGGTATTATAGAGGCTGGAGGGCTGAAACGTTATTTTTATTTGTTATTTTTTTTTGTCTTTGAAAGCGCTTACACTTTTTTCGACATTCTGTGGACTCTGCTTCTTCAGGTAGAAGCAGGAAGCCAGGCACAGTGCACACTCTGAGGCAAGGCGAGACAAAGACAATGAAAGAATGTTCACTACTCGGGGCAGCACTACATACACTAGTGTGTATATGGAGAAAATAATTTGCATGTAAATGTGTGGCGGAAGTGCAGGATACCTCCATCACAGAAACAGAAAAATGTCACACTTGATAGTTGGATAGCCCTGCAGAGACTCAACTATTTGTGTCCATTCCATGTTGATCGACCATCAAGATACTGAAAGCTTTTAGTGGCCTAAATCTTATGTTTTTTTTTTCTTCCAGATGCATGAAAGTGGATTTGGTGTGCATGAGGAGGGAATTCCCGCAGCTCAAAGGGTGTTGATCAGTGATGTCCCAGGACAGGCAGTGCTGGTTCTGCTGCAGTATCTTTACACTGCTCGCTTTTCCCTTCCAGCGTCATTACGTCCTCATGTACTGGAGTTGGCATCCAGGTCAGTAAGCAGAAGCCACACATTTCAAGATCTTATTGATCATGAGCAGTACCAACCGAACAATGTTTTTCTTGATTTTATTTATTTATTTTTAATTTGGTGTACAACTTACCTTCTGCTTTCTTAAGGTTTGATCTACAGGAGCTGCGCCAGCTATGTGAACTTCATATTGACGAAGCTTCAACTCAGAATGCTGATGGAGCCGCCACAAGCCACTTGGATTATCTCAGTAATGACACAGAAAAGAACTTAACAGCGCTCTTCAATTCCATGTGGAGCCACGAAGACGATACGGACCGAGAAGGGGGTGACGAGAGCCGTCTCGAAAAAGCTGCTGGCAGCACATCAGGTGACAGGGACCTCCACGAGGAGCAGGTGAATGAGGAAGAGCTGGATGAGATTTACGAGTTTGCCGCCACACAGAGAAAGAGGGATGAGGAGAAGCCGAGCACAGGAGAAAGTGAGGGGGACAATACAGAGATGACAAGCAAACTAACTGAACCAAGAGAAACTCCAGGGAGATGTAGTGACAGAATCCCTCAGTCTGAATCGGAATCACTTCCAGACCACAGGCTTGACAGCAGCTACAATCGTCTCTTCTCAGACTCTGAGGGGGTCTACAAAGACGAAGAACAACCATCCATCTGTCCTCCTTCATCTACTTCACCAAGAGCACAAACGCATCATACTCTCTTGTTCAAATTATCTGGTAGAACCTTGCTTCAGTCGTCAGCAAGTTTAGGCAGTGACATTTCCCCCATTGCATCAAACTTGCCCGACCCTGGTGTGTCCCCGGACAGGGATGGTGAGTACAGCCCTATGAGAGTCACGGAAATAGCTACTGTTGGACAGGAATCTCCGAAGCAAGATACGCCTCTCGAACCTCAAAGCCCAGTTAGCGGTAGTATTTGTGTCCCACTGCTTTTTAATTCACCGAAGAAAAACGAGCCAGAACTGATAGTTTTGTCAGACTCAAGCGAGGACATGGAGGTACCTGTTGCTGATCCCACTGCCCAGAGTCCTGTCTTGTCACATTCCCACACAAAGCAGAGCTTCACTCACTTAAAGCCAACAGAGTCCTCTATGGAGAAGAAGCAGTCTAGAAATTTGGAGTGCAGCTTCGGTGACTTAAGTCAGTCTCCTGACCAACCGAATCAAGGAGATTGTTCGCCGGAGCTCTCCTGGCTCCTCCCCTCCACACCAGTCAACACGACTCCCAGAAGAACAAGCTTGGACAGTTCTACACAAACCAAAGTCAGCATGCGGAAGACAGAGCTTTTTCCACAGGAGTTTAGCAACACATGTAAGATCTCCAACAGTCCCACCTGTATTTCAACCCGTGTTGGCACAGTGGAGGGAAGTGGTTCTCGGCTCAACCCGGAAAGAGCAGAGGTGGAGTCGCCGGTGTTTGCGGAGCCCCAGCTTGCCTACTTCTCAAGCGTTTCTACTCACCTCCACGAGTCTTCAAAGCAAGAGACGCCTCTCCAGGTCTGCGTTGACCCTTACAGCAGCACCCCTCTGCACCTCCATCACCGTATCCGGCCCAACCCCACGCTGCCCGACGCAGGGCCTGACACGCCAAAGTCACTTATTCAAGAACACGAAAGCCCTGAGAAGATGCAATTGGAGAGCATTCATCTCTCCCCTTTTCCTGACCCTTCAGAACCACATTCTTCTACCGCTCACAGAAGTGTTCTGAGTTTAGAGAGACCCGGTAAGTGCTCCAGCCAAAATTCTGCTCGCGCCAACAGTCACAACAGCACAGGATTTAAACCAACAAGGAGTGTAAGAGCAAGTGAAGATGGAAAGGTCACAGAGTTGGATGATGGCCACATAGAAGAAGCAACAAGCGACAAAAGTTTTGACCACAGCTTGCTGGCCATGTACGAGCCGTCAATGGCGTTCAACGACTCGTGGGGTCTCAACGCCTGCGATGACGTCGCAGGGAACCCGGGAGGCTTTAGTCTGAGACTAGAGGACAGTGGAGGATGCAGCCGGCCAGTGGACACGGCAGCCTCGTCCACCACCTCTCACTCACCGACATCTTATCAAGATCGTGCAAGTGGCGACCAAGAAGCTAAAAATCTGACTTCACAGCCATCTACGAGTAAAGAGAATCAGATCTTCAAGCCTCCAACACCTCGCCCCATTACCGATATTCCACCAGAGATAAGTGACAGCCTTCTGATCGCCAACGTGTGGGACAGCTCGGAGGAGGAAGAGGAGATACTTCCTCTTTCTCAAAGGCTAAACCCTTCTGTCCAACTAAAAACGACACGTAAGCACTTTTTAATGAGAATTTCATTCTATTAACTGTTTTTTGTGAGAATTAAAACCAACCAAGTCATGACGTACTGTATCCATACAGTATATGAATATGAAATTCCTTTAATTCACAGTGAGTACATTCGAAAAACAGCCACATCTGTTTCATTTGAAGCAAAAGGTGATCTAACCCCCGAGAAATATTTTGTATGAGACAAATACCCCTTAACCAGCACAAAACATTGTAGCATGAAAACAGAATCAAAATATACGACTAAAATAATAATAATCATAAATAAATGAATTATTTGTCACAGATGGTTAAGTGGTACACTCGCCCGACTTGTGTGCGGGCAGTGTGGGATCAGTTACCACTCAGTGACGGTGTGGATGTGAATGGTCGTACGTCTCTATATGTGCCCTGTGACTGACTGGCGACCAGTTCAGGGACTAATCCGCCTTTTGCCCGAAGTTAGCTGGGATAAGCTCCAGCAACTCCCCGCGACCCTCTTCAGGATAAGCGGTGTTGAAAATGGATGGATGGATGGGTGAATTATTTGGAACTACAGAGTATCTGTGCACATAAAAACAATGATCAACCTTAAGTGCTATCCTTTGGGATCATACTTCAAATAATTCACTTAATTTTGAATAAAAGCAGAAACTGCTCCAAAAAAAAAAAAGATCTCAACCTTAATGGTGGAAACAATAAACTCAAAAGTTAAAACGGTGCATCTGTTTGTGTCTTTCTAGCTCCTCCTCGCAATAAGAAGCATCGCACTCTGGTGCCCATCACGCCAATGCCTCACTACTCTGACATGGATACGCCTGAACTAAAAAACAAACTTGACAGGTTAGTCAATTTACATGAAAAACAGGTACATAAATTGAGCCTGATGTTTTTAGTCATGGTGATTAACTCAAGAGCATATTCAGTTTGTGTCGCTTGTTGACCTTGTTTAAACTTAGTCGGACTTTTGGATACAAACATTTGGGAAAATACTAAATAAATGTATTTGTGTGGTGTACCTCAGGGCTGGAGTTTGAAATCCCGCAATCTGTTGGACAACGGGAAGGGAACTCAAAAATGTTTCTTTTTTAGAACTGATTACCGAGGTACTTTGAGTCCTAGGAATCGTTTGTTTGCGTAACTGTCAATTCTCTGTCGATTCCTCTTTTGTCACAATTGAGTGTTTGTGTATTTTCATTCCTTCACCCAAAGAGAAACGATAAGGAACTGGTTTGCTAAGCAGTATCGATAACGTAATGGAAATCTCTTCATTCCTATCAATCTCCATCCCCGCAGTTGATTGGGATTGGGAAGAACACAAGAATGCACCTTTTTTTTTAAAGTAACAAACAGCTCAATGTAAAGGCAAAGAAATGCAGTTTGCACATGTTCAGCTGATGGATACTTTGGCTGTATGGATGCCACTCACTGTCGTCTTCTATGCAGGTTTGGTGTCCGGGCATTACCGAAGCGCCAGATGATCCTCAAGTTGAAAGAGATCCACCAGTACACCCACCAGCTTGTCAACTCGGACAGTGAAGATGAGGCGCCCTGCGTCGGGCCTGTAGCCCAGACAGAGGCCGTTCACTCCAAGTCTGGCGGCAGGCATGTAGCCTTGGAACAGAAAGTCCATTTTAAAGATTCGGCCGCTTCCTTCTCTCCAGCGAAAAACACCCAAGAGGAGGAGGACGTGGAACCGCCGTCCAACTCTCAAGACTCCAATGCCTCTACAGCTACTTCAAGTGAAGAATCTGAAAGGTACTGCTTACACGCAGCATGTTGCTGACACATCTAATAATATCCACAAGAGTTGTCTTAGTTAAAAGTTGCTTTTTCAAAGGGGACAAAAAAAATCGAAACTATTTTTCCATTTAGACATAAACAACCAAGAAAAAAACCCAAATTAAATAGTTGAATTGCTTCATTATCCACTCGCCACAATGTAGTCGAAGAGTGTTTGTCTCAGTGCTCCTCTGTGAACGGTGTCCATTTTTCCTGAGGTACCGTATTTCATCCTCATTTCTTATTCTGCCTAATAGTCCCACGTCAGATAGAGGATTGTGTTCATGACATTGGCTGTCGGAGGCCCATGACTGAGCCATTTATTTGTAATGGCTTTTTTCCATGCAGCCAAAATGATTAAATAAAGGAGTGCCTATGGGAATTTTAGTTTTAAGGCACTGGCATTTCAGTCGCTGATGGAGTAGTGGTACATTTGCCTGTCTTGTGTGCGGGCGGTGTGGGATCGGTTCCCACTCTGTGACGGTGTGACTGGTTGTTTATGTATGTATGTGCCTTGCGACTGACTGTCGACCAGTTCAGGGTGTAGTCTGCCTTCCGCCCAAAGTCAGCTGGAATAGGCTCCAGCAACACCCTACAACCCTGTTCAGGATAAGCGATGCTGAAAATGGATGGATGGATGGCACTGGCATTTTGCTGCCACCACACAATGAAAGTGGTACAGTCCCATCCATTCTTTTCGAGTGCGTGGTGAATGAGCCCCGGTTCTGTTCTGCCCCAGCCCTGCAACTTCAAACTTGGTAGTTTTGGTGATAATCTGAGTACAGGTTTGGACGCTGCATATAATTGTCCGACCATCCATGGCATGAATCCTGCAGGCACAACCCGGAACTGTGTCTTTCCTCTGGCGGTGACTCAGACAGCGATGGCGGGATATCGGCTTCCCAAGCGGCCACTCGCCTTGAAGATCGCCTGCAGGCCGTGCGCTCCTTCATCCTGTCCGACTCCAGCCTGTACAGTCAGATCCTGCAGTACCAGCCTCTGGTCCTGTCTCAACTACAGGAGCGTCTGAAAGCCGCAGGCATCCGCCTCGGTGCCGCCAAGCTGGTCAACTTTCTTGACTCCCAGTGCATCACTTTCACCACGGCGAAACCGGGGCAAGCCGCACCCACTCGCAGACGCGTCAGGAAAACGGGCAAGAAGGCAAAAGCAGCAGGGAAATGAGTGATTGAGGCAGAACTTCCAAAGCTCTTACGGTGTCATCAGGCAGAAAAAAAAATAGTAATGGAGAAGCTCTGAGAAAAATAAAGTGGCACTGCTTTTAAGAACTAGTTATTCTTTCATGGAAACTCTTTTTTTTTTGACTGAAACATATTTCATCAGGATGAGTTTTGCATTTCCAAGTATTTTTCAAAAACAAACTTCCTAAAAATTAAAACAATTGCTGTGTATAATGTAGTTTTATGTATGGTTCCATTCACATTTCAGTATGAATTATTAAGTATGGAAAATCATTAAATATGATAGTTTTGTTGCTCTAGGTTGAATCTAATAACTACATTTGATTTTTTTTTTTTTTTTTGATCATTGAGCCGTGCCTGCAAACTTTTAACAGTTTGATCATTTTTGGCACCTTGAAGGAACTTACACAAGTACACCAATGAAAGTTGTTGAATGTTTTGAAACTCATTTTACTTGTGCTCTTTGGTAAATTCAGATCCACAGATGAGCCAGTGGGTAGATAGAGCGGAGCACACTTGAGGAATGAGGGAAGCTTTTTCAACAAGAAAAGCTTCTATCAAATATGTCATTCAAGTAGAAGGTAGGGCCTTTTTTGCAGCGACACATTACGTCTCGGCTGTTTGGTTTCAGTTCTTCAAGCAGCGTGAAGCTTCAGATTTCACATCAAGCTCCAAATGGCGAACAATGCTTCACACGGAGCATCCTCAAGCCCTAAGTGACTCTCCTATTGACCCTTGCGGCACCTTCGGCGATGAATCACCGGCCCGTTGCATCCTGTCGTGTTTCAGTTCCTCCAAACAGTCAGGACAGGTCTGCAATATTTGCAAGGAAGCGCTGAGCCCACCACTCCTCCAAGTCGATGGGAACAAAATCTGCTGGGAAACAAAGGTAAGGTGGAATGTTGTTATTTGGCGACATGTTAATCAGTGTTTTGACTTGACTGGGCAGCATCGCGAGAGGTCTAGTACAAAAAAATTTAATAAATGATCAAAAAGTGAAGTCCCAAATAATAGTCACTTCAGCTCCAGATTTTCACTGCCTGTTTTCAGTACCAAGGCAAGATGGGCCCCTTAGATAAGCGGTGGCTTTTTTAAAAATTCAACAAAAACATTGAACTGTTTTTTACAACCTCAGCGCAAATGCCTGTTGAAGTGAGCAGGAAGAATGAGCTGCTCTCATTGCTTACTCTTCATGACAACATTGGTGGTCTTCTCTGTGTACTGAACGGGCCCCCGGCGGCCCATCGATTCCCTGTCATCTTCACCTCCCAGCTTTTGCTCCACCTCCCGCCATGCTGGTGGAAACAAAGCATACAATTATGAAAATACACATTCTGGTTCGACAGGAAACATACATCCTTCACACGAAAGCCTTCACACATAGATAAGCTTCAAGGTTTTGGCAGCATGGGAGCGTTCAACCTTCTCCAAAAACTAACAACAGCAAGCAGGAAGTCAGCCAAGTTGTTTTCCAACATCGTTTAATCAACGGACATTTTTGATGAAGACAACAGTCCATTTGATCACGCTTTAAGAGCTTTTATTTGGACAATATTTTTTGGGTTGTGGTTTCAGTTTACAATCGCACTGACATTATTTTCGATTGTGGTCATGATGTTTTCATGAAGGATCAACCTTAATTACGGAAAAATATCAGTATTGGTATCGGCCTTGTCCTTAGTATTGGTGCCACACCAAATTTTTCAGTATCACGCACCCCTAGCGAGCAGCAACACAAGTTAGCCAGTAGTTGTGTAATATACTGTATGTCAGGGGTGCCCAAACTTTTTGGACCAAAGATCTACTTTTCGTTCAACCAACCTCCCCGGATCGCCCCTTACCACGCATTCGCACTCATGCGCGCACAACCACACACACACACACACACACACACACACACACACACACACACACACACACACACACACACACACACACGCGCACACACGCGCACACACGCGCACACACGCGCGCACGCACAGGCGCGGCATGATGAGAAGCCAAACACGGAACCAAGCGATGCACTTTTGCAGCCTGTTGACTATCGTAGCTCACACGTACCGTTTTAAAGTGCTTCCCTTAGCCCTCTAGATTCCTATTCTTTGCCCGTGCCCTCGGTGAATAGTACACGAAGCAAACTCTGAATGAGAATAATGACGATCAAAGATATAGCGCAACAGCTCTGATCACAAGCTGCAATTGCAACTGCTGAGCGTTAACAACTTCCGCTGACGTAGTCACACGCCACCGTAGGTTAAAGATTTATATGCTTTATTTTATTTTTAAAATCTTTCTTTGGGAAAATGAGACTGATAGGATGATTAGGGTGCAGTGTGCATTAACACAAAAATATATATTGCTAACATGTACAAAGACACAATTTTTTTTTTTTCCCCCCTCCTCTACACCTTTCGGATCTAATTGGGACGAGTCCTAGATCTACCGGTAGATCAGGATCGACGTAATGGGCACCCCCCTGCTGTATGTAATGACATTCAACAACTTACAATGCCAACCGAAATATTACCAACTACAGCAGAGCATATTGAAAGATGCGTTATATACAAATATTAAGCATGCATGTCTAAAATGAGAGAGATGGCATTTACGCATGTTAACACTGCACGGACGAACAAGATGCATTTGATCAAAAGCCTGCTCATCAGCTGTCTTGTTCACTAATACTCACTGGGACAGAGTTCAATCTGCTCGCCGGAAGCTTGCCTACTATTAAGTCGGTAATTTATTCCATGATGCAAAGTGTGACACTAAAAACGTGAGGCAAAGACGGTACGAGTGTTGATCGCAGATTTAAGTGTGTGTGTGTGTGTGTGTGTGTGTGTGTGTGTGTGTGTGTGTGTACTGAAGGCAGTTCAATGAGGTTCCAAGACCATTACTTTTTACAAAAAATAAAATTGTAAAAAAATGTAAACTTCCAAGACATCCTATTTGTTTGCTGTTGTGACCAACAACTCACACCAACTGCCATCCCTCACCTTCATAGACAAATTTGACGTTCTCCTCGTGTGCTGGAGTGAATCCCTCTGCTGGGCTGTGGACCTTCTGCACAGATGCAACGTGGTAACGCTTCCCATTGAGACGGTTGAACACAAGCTTTGGAGGCGGAGTGCTGAGGGTTGAGTCCAAAACAGGGAACAAAGCAAAACATAAATTAAACTAATGGGTGAGTACGTTATTTTCAGACAGCTATTGCACTTGTCATCCATTTTGTTGTAATGCATGTCATTCACTTTCGAAGTAATTTAGAAAGGCCTCATAATACACAAATGTACAATTTTTTTCATTGTTGGACTTAAATTTGCTCAAAGAGAAACAATTCTGTGCTCATTTTGTAATCTACATGACAACCATTTGCTAAATGTCACTAACTTGTGACATAACAAATACACAAAACTTTCCATTTTAAATTGCAGATAACTGCCCAATCTGCATCAGATCAGGATAAAACTGTTTGACATGACCCTGCATACACATACTCTAGAAAATTGCCCTACAGCAATACTTAGCCGCTAAAATTTAACACGTGGTTAATGTGCATGTTTACCTTTTATGTTTGGCCTAGCCATGTGCACTATGCTTTAGTGTAATATTACATTTCATAGCTACTCAAGGAAAATGATTATTCCTATCACTGTGATTGATCATATTATCTCATCAAGCAAGGGTCTCAAACTCCGGTCCTCTCAGGCTGCTTTCCTGCATGTTTTAAATGTTTCCCTCCTCCAACACACCCGATTCAAACGATCAGGATCGTAATCAGGCTGCTGGAGAGCTTGCTGGTGAGCTGATCAAACGCTAGCTGAACCAGTTGGGGCTTTTATTTTATGGAGCATAGTACGCCTGTGCTGTGAAATGATGCAGAGGCGCCAGATAAGCTAAAAAGCTGTCTGCTCACTTATCACTTGGCATGGCCATCAAATGTGTGAGTAGTTTGAAAGGATGTGACGTGACTTGATGCAAACAATCAGCGCAGTTTTGCTCATTCTTAGTTTGTTTTTTTTAATCTTACTATGATTGTGAGCGGTTTAAGTAGGGTATAAAGACTGGCAGGAAAAGGCAAGGGGCCCAGTAACTCATTCAAGTAAACAGTACACCGAATGACGTCGACACTGTTGGCCAGGTACTGAAGGTCTCAGGTGACAGACCCTGAACGCACCATTACAAATAACCAAGTAGGTTCGGCACAATTAAAAACGAGTGACGCTGTTCCATACACACGCACACGCACGACACGAAGAAGAACTTACTTTGACGGGAGCCACTTCGTGGAATTGAGCTTCAGTTCGGCGAATTTACTCTCAATCTGTTGCGTGGGGCCTTCAGTAAATTGGAGAAGAAGCTCAAGTTACTTAGCCAACGCAACGTGACGCGACGCGACATTGCATCACACTTTAGGTAACGCTCACCTGTCGTCCTCCGTTGTGTAACGAGTTTGCTGGGCCCTCTGGTGATGGTGTACATCATGGGACGAAACCCGTGTCGTATGTCCACTTGATGTCCAATCCCCTCAAACTTCAGGTCCCCCCCGCGGCTCCCTCCTCTCCACTCGCGGCCGTGGTGGAAACGTGACCTGGGTCAGCCGCTCCACAAGTCGGCCCGAAGTGCGTGGAAATGCGAACACGGACCCCGCGGCTCCTCCGACCCCACGGCAAGGTGCTCAGCCCGCGGCGTGTAGGTCACCCAAGGAGAAAGCAGTTCCACGTGCCGGTAAGCGCCACTCACGCTCCCCCACACGCACGCACGGGTGCAGGGCACACCGCCCTTCTCGGTGTCCGAGGACAATCACTCACAGAGCGGACACTCGGGCCGCTGTGTTACCGTCGCTGTGGTACTAGTGGACACAAACAAGGACACGACTCAGTTGATTTCCACCACCGCACCACAGAATACGATCGTGTTTCTCTTCTGTGTCAAGTGAGAGGGTGTGATGTCACTCACTTCCGGTTGGTGATCTCCAAAATAGTTTGACGACGAGTCCAGGCCACCCAGCCATCCATTTTCTAATCCGCTTATTTTCACAAGGGTCGTGGGTGTGCTGGAGCCTATCCCAGCAGTCTTCGAGCAGTAGGCGGGATACACCCTGAACTGGTTGCCAGCCAATCGCAGGGCACACTTAGATGAATGCCAATTATTCATTTACCTCATTGTTCAAATCTAAATTATGATTACTGCTTGAACGTGTCCTGGAGTGATATCTTTATGAAACTTATTGAATCTGTTAATCATATATCTTATACAATACAATACAATTTATTAAATCCACATAAAAAAAATTTGGTGCTTTTTTTGGGGTGAGAATAGATTGATGGCATTTAATGGATTTGGATTTGGTGTATGAGTAAATCGAGCAACAAGCTACGGGTACGGAACAAATTAATCAATGAACTTTTTCACCCATCCCATGTGCTTTAAAAATGTATATTGAAATGCACTTCGACATGTAAATATATTTGAACATACAAAAAACAATTGTAAACATAAATGTATACTAAATCCTTTAAATATTGTGTGTTAGGGACCACACGGTGCAACTGGTGAGCACGTCCACCTCACTGTGCAGAGGTGCGGGGTCCGATTCTGGCTCCGGCCTTCCTGTGTGGAGTTTGCATGTTCTCCCTGTGCCTGCGTGGGTTTTCTCCGAGTCTCCGGTTTCCTCCTACATTCCAAAAGCATGCATAGCATGTTAATGGAACAATCTAATTCAAAATTGTCCCTAGGTGTGATTATTAATGCGAATGGTTGTTCGTCCATGTGTGCTCTGCGATTGGCTAGAAACTGGTTCAGGGTGTACCCTGCCTACAGCCCAAAGACAGCTGAGATAGGCTCTAGCATGACTGCGACCCTTGTGATGATAAACAAATTAGAAAATGGATGGATGGATAGATATTGTGTGTTGCACAGGCCTATTCGGGTAGCATGTGAAGTCAGTGAGTCCTGTGTGACTGTGTCGATTGTTTATGTGTTTTACTGTGTTCTTGGTGGTCAATGAATCCCTAAAAAGTCCATTAAGATAAGATAAGATAAGAAAACCTTTATTAGTCTCGCAATGGAGAAATTCCCAATTCACAGCAGCAAAGTTATGAAAGGAAGAAGTAGAACAACAAAATATAGGAGCTGCTGGAAAGGCAGCCACTCTCGCGGCGCCATTTTGAAGTCAAAATAACAAAAATAACACAACACAACGCATAGGACACAAGACAGTCGTGCAATCTTCACCACTTTTCTGCATACACTTTGTTGTCTTTAGGCACTGTGGTTCTTCTTTCCCCACATGCAAGGGCTTTTAAATAATTAATAAGTAAACAGTAAAAAAAAAAAGTGCTTGGAAACATCTCTTTTTGGTTGAAAACATCTCTTGCAGGGCACCAATGATTAATGGTATAACGGGGGAACACAGTAGCTCCATTTTGTCTGTTATGACAAAGTACAGTTGGGCAGCATGGAGGAAGTAGTTAGGAAGTCTACCACGGAGTTTTCAGGTCCTGGGTTTGAAACTTAGCTGTGGCTCTCTGAAAGTGATAATTGTCAATATGTGCCCTATGATTGACTCTCGGGTAGTGACCAGTCCAAAGTGTACCCCCCCCCCCCTTACACTCAAAGTCAGCTAGGATAGGCCCCATTTGAATAAGTAGACAATCAAAGTCGGTGATAGCAGTTGAAAAAAAAAAGCTATTACTAAGCAGACTGTCGTTTATGGTCAGTTTTCCAACTGCAAATTAAGTCATCGTTTAAAATAAAACTTTATTTTGAAGTTAATTACCCAATTTCCGCCCTCTGGAGATTCGATGGCTATGCTGGGAAAGCCCCCTCCGTGAATTCACTTCTCAGTTCTCACCCCTCTTTTGACTGTTTTTTTTTTTTTTGTGCGCGTGTGTTTGCGTGTTGTAGTGTGAGTTTACCTTTCACCTATTAAAGCATTGCGCACACTCCTGTTTACTTGGTTTTAAAGGGGAAGTAAATACCAAACATGTCATATATATTATGCACCCCAACTAGTCTAAGGACGCTTTTCTGATCGATTGCATTTTGGCTCTTGTCGACTGGAAATGGCATCCAGTGTCTAAAGTACTCAGTTTAAGAATGTCAAATGACCAAACCCAATAAATACAGCGGAACCGTGATTGATTGTTACCAGAGCTCTTAGGGACTGTGACGTAGCTGAATGGCCACCCTCAGAGATGGATGAAAACGGATGAATTTTGCAGCTTAATTCATATTCCACCAACACAATATTGTTCAGAATGCCGTGTTTAGACTCGTGGGAGGGTATAGACCACATTGCAAAGACAAATTGGGGCTTCACTTCACTTTTAAAATGCTGAAGACTGAAAACTAATCAAATCCAGTCATTTAGATCTAAACAACTTACATCTGAAGTATATTTTCATGCAACCTGACTTCATTCATGCTATCACACGAAGGGATATCAAGCATTTAATATACATGCAATCATTTGTCTTCCACTGTGGCATTTTTACAAAGAGTACATTTCCCTTGAAGATGAAGTCAAGAAAACAAGGATCATCTGTGGATTACCGTTGAGGAGCACCGTGATCAAGAAGCGACTCAGACAGGCTTATCCAGACAGATATCACGGCTACGTCTGCTTATCTCTTACTATCTGGGTCGCTCACCTGAGTCCACTGGCAAGAGCGAGAGTCCCGGTGTTACATCAGAAGGGTTGACTGTGTTAGTACATCCATCGGTTTATCGTCTCACGGTCCACAGAACAATGACAATTAAAACAATGTAGCTGCATGATTGATTGGAAGCAACGTCCTGACGTGACGTCCATAATAAAATGACATATAAACAACGGAAAATGTATTCTTACTGTGTATATCAAGAGTAAAAAAAAAAACAGAACAATTTTAATAAAACACTGCCATGTGATCAGACCAGTTGTTTCATTACAGATATTGAACCGCCTTAATTGCTGCTGTTGGTCAAGTGGGCAGTAGTGTTGCCATCAGAAGGGAGTGTGATGCGTCACGCAACAGAGCTTCAAAGTCCTCTTACTGTGTCCTCATGGCACACAATGCCCCCCCGTTGGGATCAACTGCTGATGGTCATATGCTACTTACAAAAAGGTATGGCTGTTCGAGTGAAATTTTAGGAGAAACCTAAAATGCACTATAACCTTTTCAGGGGAGCTTGACCACCTCTCTCTATTTATCAAAGGAGATGTCCAACTGTTCAGTGTTTCTGTATTTTTATAATAAGGAGCTAAATTAGGTTCACTTGTAAAGTTTATAGTGCAATTTAGGTTGAGCCAAATAGTGTATTTGTAACTTTCTGTGAGTAGTCTACAAAGTATACCTAACACACGTGTACATTCTAAAAGAACGGCACCATAGGAATTTGGAGTTAGATTTTTTTTGTCAGAGCATGTTGGGAGTGTCAGTAGTGCGGGTCACAGTCCTCCACAAGGCTGTCTGTGATGTAGCTGATTTTCAGAAGCTCCTGGTAGTGTTGCTTCTCCACGCCGTTGTTGACAGTCCAGGCAACCACCTCCACGCCCCTCTGGCTCCAGTATTGCACATAGTCACTGGAGAAAAAAGAAAAAAAAAAACCCAAAAACAAGAATACTTATATTTTGGAATTCTAGATATGACCGATGACTGGGTCTCTGTTAAACAAACTCACTGCGAGACAAAGTTCTTTTGCACCAGGAAGGCGGAAATGCCACAGAGCTTCCACAGCACGTGATGGTGGGCCCAGTCCAAGACGATATCCATTAATGTCAGCCAGTGGTGTTTCCATGGTGACGAATAACGTGGGGAGCCATCGCCAAAGCGGCTCAAGCTCCAGGGTCTGTGGGTCAACGCAGTGACCACTTGGGGGTCAGTCTGCCTCATCTGTCCCAAGAAATGGACGGAGGAAGAGAACATTTTTCAGAATGCAAAAAATATCATCACATGCCCACAAATACAGTGAAAGAAGTTTAGTCTTACATTAATAAATAAATAATAGTTTGGTATTGAATAACAACATAAAAGAATATTCAGAAATAAAGTTGTTGTTTGTGTTGATGTGTGCCTCTTTGAGGCGCAGCGAAATAAGTTATGCTAGGAGCCGGAGTTAGCGTCTGGCCAGGAGTCGTGGCCAACAGCAGCTCTTTGCAAGCGTTCTCATTTTGGGTTTGGGTGGTGGCCGCTTGTCCTGTCGATAAACGGCTGAAAGTACATCAGCCTCGTGTGGCTCTCCTTGCTGCCTACACGAAAGGGCTGTTTTGTTTTGTTTTGTTTTGTTTTAATTACTTGAACAGGAGTGTAACCAGGAAGCTTGAAGCTCAAATTTTGGTTTAAAATGATTTTTTTTTTTAGCCGTTATTTTAATTTGTCATCCATTTTTGCAAAAAAAATATGGTGCGGTCTTCAACTGTATTCTTGAAACTTTAAATTTCAAGGAAAATGATTCACAAGTCAAACAAAATTCCAAACCTGAACAAAAAAACAGGACCCCAAAAACTGCTTAGATGACACCCTCTTTGATGGGAAAAAAAAAATCAAGTCCCCATCACTTGAAGGTAAATGTTTAATTGCTTCCTACCTTGTAGACGACTTTGGGCTCGAAAGAGCAGACGATGCTGCTGTTGTAGAGGACCGGATGCTTGTTGTAGAGAGCTGAGAGCGCTGCAGCTGCCTGCCAGGGAAGGACGCCGCAGTTATAATACATCACTCACATACTTCCAATGTGTGTGTGCGCGTGTGTGTGTGTGTGCGAGAGATTTTTTTTTTCATTTTATCCACCTGTCCTGACACTCCTGAAAACAAGAATATTGCCATTTGCAAAAACAACTGCTAGTTTACATTTCTCACTGATATGAAAAAAAAGCACCGAGTCAAGAAAGAGCATGTGAACATGCTAAAATGTGCAAACATGACCAAGCATATAAATGATCATTTTGGAAAACACCTCATCTGGATGGCCTTTCACGTCAAAGTAGATGCTTAGCTGTAGTTTGATGCATTCCTCCACTGCCTGCTCCAGCGTTGGGATCTTCTCACCAGTAAACTTGTCCCTGAAAATAGAAAAAACAGTCAGCAATTATGTGGCTGCTGTTGGATCATTCCATGGCTCAAAAACAGCAAAGTGTACTTTACATTAGCTCACAAGGCTAAATACACAACAACAGCAGTTATTATTTGAACACAAGGTGACCAAGTTAGATATAGGTATATTGTGAACAGATATAACTCATTGTGTTATAACAATACGTGTGTTAAAAACAGCGCAATATGTATTAAATTGCTGCAAATTTAGTAGCAAAGGTATGAAGTGTCCTAACTGCAGCTTTGCTTAAAACTTATTTCGAGGCAAATTTGTTTGTCTGCCACAGTTTATTTGGTTAAATTAGCATGGACACACCATTTAGTGCAGTTGATGACATCTTACGCTCTTTTCTTTTTATGATTACAATTTCCAACTCTTAAAATGTTTCTCAAACAGGAGAAAAAAGATCTTGCAACATTAATGTGAAAGTGGGCAGCAAGGTTGCAAATGGTTAGCACGTCTGTTTCACACTCCACAGGTTCTGGGTTAGAATCTGAGCTCAGGCTCTCTAGTGTGGAGTTCACTTGTTCTCCCTGTGCAGGTGGCCTTGTACTAAGGCAGATGGAGGAAAGGAGTAGGAATAAGAGGCGCATATTGTTGAATTCATGGCTCTATTTTACCTGAGTCGATGTTTAGCAGCTGCGTCCAGTTTACCCAATTCAGCAAATCTTAGTTGACTAAGGGGGCCTGATCCATTTGTGGTCCGATCCACGCTGTCGTCATGCATCAGGATCGGGACCCCGTCTGCAGAGAATTCCAGGTCAAGCTCCACTCCAGAGGCCCCGTTCTTACTGGCCTGGTGCGTGACAAGATGAATCAAAAATGCATTCCACAGAACTGTTTATATTTCTTAGTGATCGTTGAATAAATTATAATACATAACCATGATTTTCAATCCAAATGAAATAGAAAAAAAAAATTCTGTTAAGTGTTTGTTTGGTTCACAGTAAAAGATCCTGACCTCCAATTAGGAAAAGTGTCTTGGAAAGCTGCTCCAAGCACCTCACCGCGATGAAGAACATTTGCCCAAAAGAAAGGGACAATTTTACTGTACTGTATTGGTTGTGAATGGGATAGCAACCAAAAACAAAAATACGTGTGGGCTGCAGCTGCCTCAAATAAATGACTGCTGTGCGATATCAAGTCTTCTTCATCGCAGCGAGGTCCTTTGAGCAGCCATCCAAGACACTTTTGCGAATCGGAGGTCGGCAAATAGGCTACGTATCAGGATTTTAGAGGACAACAACACGTAACGAGGTACCGGCATTTGTGTCAGTGACGTGTGTGTCAAAGTAGACATGTTCCCCGTCCGAACAGAATACCGATCTATGCTCTTACCAGCCGGATAGCCGCTATTGTGTTTTCCGGTGCGTCGTGTCCGCCTCCGCGGTGAGCTACAACGGACACCTTCCCGGATCCAGCCGGGTGAAGGACTTGTCGGACTCGGCCGGCAGGTAGCTGGGGGAAGCGGAACATGGCCAGGAAGAGGTAGAGGCAGCTGGTGAGGACGCCGGACCACACCGGACTGCGAGTGGCCAGCAAGGCCACCACGAACACGACCGAGTACAGCGAGACCTCATCCCCTAGCTGAAGCATGTCGTACCGCCGGTCAGGTGGATTGAGAGATGGCAGCCGACGTTGGATTCAAAGACGTACGATACAAACCCAGATGATCCGCGGCTAGACTGGATGACTTTAACCCCGCCCAACGTGTGAGTGTTGCGCCACTGCCTTGCGTCATTTCCGCCACTTGCGGTCTGAAGTCACACGTCGGTGTTTGTTTGAGATGCATCTGTGTTTGATTGGGGTCTGGCCCGCTCAAATAAATGTTGTGCCCCCCAAACCAACCTCCACACCCCCCCCCACCCCCAATCGATCTCATGTATTTTTATTATCTCATTCCTCTCTCCTTCCCCCTGTTTCTGTGTGGGTTTTCTCCGAATACTCCAGTTTCGTTCCACATTCCAAAAACATGCATGGTAGGTTACTGGGACACTCAGTCCCAAAACATGCATGGTAGGTTACTGGGACACTCAGTCTAAAATGTCCCTAGGTGTGAATGTGAGCGCAAATGGTTGTTTGTCCATGTATGCCCTGCAATTGGCTGGCAACCAGTTCAGAGTGTACCCCGCCTACTGCCCAAGGATAGCTGTGATAGGCTCCAGCACGCTCGCGACCCTTCTAAGGATAAACGGATTAGAAAATGGATGGATGGATGGATGGATGGATGCCTGCCTCCTCCGCTCCCCGTATTACTGTCTTAATGTCTTGCTTGCTCCCTCAAATATAAAATATATGTAGTTGTTTCTCGTGTCATGTTTCTCAACTGTGCTCCATCCCCGCTTTTTACTCTGTTCAGAGTGTCGGCCTGCTGCCGGCTCACAGTGAGGTCTAGCTGTCTGCAGTGAGCGGAGACCCAACTTCCAATTACCCTTCAGGATAAACTGCAGCCTATTCTTCTAGAACAGGGTGAGTGGTCGCATCCAAGTGAGTGAATTTGTCAGTTAGACGTATGTAAAAATGTGCCATTTAAACGCATCTCGTCATATCAATCGTAGGGTCCGTGATCTTTCAAAAATTGATGTTAAGTGCAGTGGAAATAACTTGTGTGGGGAAGCAATTTGGACTCTGCCTTAGGATTTGAAAATAGCAAATACGTTTCAAAAATGTTTTAAAAACGGTGTACTGTGAAAAGAATTAGGGGGGTAAAAGTAAACCTCCCCGTCGGGGAATCGAACCCCGGTCTTCCGCGTGACAGGCGGAGATACTGTCCACTATACTAACGAGGAACTGGTAAGGGCCAAACAAATAATAGTTACATATCAGCAATAGGTGTCGGGCATGGAGTACAGACGTCAATCGTCGGACACAATGACTCAAACAAAGTTGCCTGTGACCAAAAAAATATCGATGCATCCATCTGTTATCTGAATTACGTTGGTTATTATTTGTGGCCGTCATACACAAACACAACGAATTGTGCCACTATTTAAAAATGGGATGCTTGTTAGATTTTGTGGAAGTACAGTACAGTATTTGGTTTGAACAAGTGAGGTTTTTGGTCCATCTTGCATGTGCTTTGCATATGTCCACCAGAGAGCAGTGTTGTAAGAGTGTTGGAGACATTTGTCATCCGTGAAAAGCAACTAACCGAATGCAAATAAAATAAATAAAATATTGTTCAACTGCCAATTTAGTGACTTGATCTCAAATGTTTCCAATACGCAAAGTGTTTTTTTTTTCACCCAAACTGGTTAACCTAACACCAATCGTTCTTTATGAGTTCAGAGGATCACATATTTGGCCTTGAGGGAACAACACCACTATACTCTCGACTCTTTGTTTTTGCTATCCTCCGTCCCTGTGTTTCCAAAAAAATTTGAAGTTAAGATTGTGGAACTGAACATAACATCAATAAATAAATAATAGATGAACTTCCCCGTCGGGAATCGAACCAATGTCTTGCACACGACAGGCAGACATACTGTCCACTATAGTAACGAGGAGTGTCTATGTTTCACAGTGTTTTCTGATAATTCCAATAAAATCTCGGCAATTTTTGAAAACCGAAGATACGTCAGAAATTATTTACTTGGGTAACAGGTAAACTCACCGTCGGGAATTGAACCCGGGCTTTCACGTGACAGGCGGAGATACTGTCCACTATACTACCGAGCAGTGTCTGTGCTTCACGGTGTCTTTTGATAAACTCTCGACTCTTTGTTTTTGCTATCCTCCGTCCCTATGTTTACAAAAAAAATTGAAGTTAAGATTGTGGAACTGAACATAACATCATTAAATAAATAATAGATTAACTTCCCCGTCAGGAATCGAACCAATGTCTTGCACATGACAGGCAGACATACTGTCCACTATACTAACGAGGAGTGTCTATGTTTCACACTGTTTTCTGATAATTCCAATAAAATCTCGGCAATTTTTGAAAACCGAAGATACGTCAGAAATTATTTACTTGGGTAACAGGTAAACTCACCATCGGGAATTGAACCCGGGCTTCCACATGACAGGCGGAGATACTGTCCACTATACTAACGAGCAGTGTCTGTGCTTCAAGGTGTCTTTTGAGAATTCGTGTAAAATCTTGGCAATTTTTTTTTTTAACTCAGATACATTGGGAATTATTTAGTGGGTTAAGAGTTAAATTCCTCGTCTGGGGAATCGAACCCCAGTCTTCTGCGTGACAGGCGGAGATACTGTCCACTCTGCTAACAAGTAGTGCGTGTGCTTCACAGTGTCTTTTGATAATTACACTAAAATCTCGACAATTTTTTTTTTTTGAAAACAGGAAGATACGTCGGAAATTATTTAGTGAGGTAAGAGGGAAACTCCCCGTCGGGGAATCGAACCCCGGTCTTCCACGTGACAGGCAGAGATACTGTCCACTATACTAACGAGGAGTGTCGGTGGCTCACAGTGACTTTTGATAGTTCCCAAAAAATCTCAGCAATTTTTGAAAACATGCATTGGAAATTATTGAGTGGGGCAAGAGGTAAACTCCCCGTCGCGGAATCGAACCCCGGTTTTCCGCGTGACAGGCGGAGATGCTGTCCACTATACTAACGAGGAGTGTCTGTGCTTCACGGTTGTTTTTTGATAATTCCCTCAAAATCTCGTCAGTTTTTTTTTTTTTTTTTTTAAACTAAGATACTTTGGAAATTTCGTGGGGTAAGAGGCAAACTCCCCGTCGGGGAATCGAAACCCAGTCTTCCGCATGACAGGCGGAGATACTGTCCTCGATACTAACGAGGAGTATGTGTGCTGCACTTAAAAATGGTGCAACGATTATCTGCACAACCGTCATAATACTCTATTGCACCACTGATCACTTTATCTCTGCTCGATGACTCTGCACATTGTCGCACAGCTTGTCATTGGGTGGTACAACTGCACAAAGGTACCTTTACATTACGGAAAGTTCGTCGATGCTTAAATGGCATGTCTTTGTTTATCCTAATTGCTTGTTATTGCAATACTCGTGTAGCCTGTACTACCGGAGACAAATTCCTTGTGTATTCTACATACTTGGCCAATAAAGAAGATTCTGATTCTGATACACCATCCATTTTCTAATCTGATCCTCACGAGGGTTGCGGTCAGTTTTCTTGGGCAGTTGGGGAGGGGGAAACCCTGATCTGATTGCCAGCCAATGGTGGGGAACGCATAGACCAGAGGTGTCAAACTCATTTTTGGCGCAGGCCACATTTTAGTTACCGTTTGACTTGAAGGGCCATTGTAACTGTAACCATATAAAGAAGTCAAGAATAACTGTTGATTCAAGTATTGTTTAAGCTACGATCTTGAGGGATTTGGTAACAAGAAAATGCTTAGAATATATCTCTTATTTATTACATGTGAGAGTTCAAATTTTTGGTCGACATTTTAGAAAGGATCATGGAAGTTGACATGTTTGAGTTGCTTTTGCGGGCCACATAAAATGATGTGGCGGGCCAGATCTAGCCCCCGGGCCTTGAATTTGACACCTGTGGAAGAGACTAACAACCATCCACGCTTACAATCACACCCACGGAGAATTCAGAATGTTCAATTCCCATATCGTGTCGGAAAATGTTGCTGTTAATTTTGTCGTAAACCACTTTATAGAACAATACTATCTACTTTTTTTTTTTGCTATCCTACGTCCTGAAAAAAGAATATAAAATTGTTCTCCTCATCGAGGAATCGAACCCTTCTCTTTTACAGTTGAGACAGTGGAAACTGGGGGAAAAAAAAGGAAATGTTCTCCCCGTCGGGGAATCGAACCCCGGTCTTCCGCGTGACAGGCGGAGATACTGTCCACTATACTAACGAGGAGGTGATACGTCTCGGTCAATTTATTTTTTTACACACTTATTGTTGTCCACGACGCAAAGCAATTGTGTGTTCAGCTGTTAGTTGTGACGGTCGTCCGGAAAGAAAATGAAACCTCGTATTTGGTATTTGTTTTTAATCATACTGAGAACAATCATATTTTGTGGAAATTAATTCGTTTCAAAGGTGTGTTTTGGGCAAATATGTACTCTCCAAATGGCCATCAGAGAGCAGTGTTGCTCCTTAAATACATGGTCAGCAAAGACAACATGTGCGAACACATTAATTTGATGACAACGAAGTGCAGTTCATTCACCATCAGGATAAACTTGGTTATTCGATTTTTTTAAATTATCTATGACGTTTTTATGTTTTCGTCATCCATTTGAAGGGATGCGGATTCGGTGGTGAAATACTAAACAGCAATCGGAGATTTGAGATACGAGTCCGGCCCCGAAGCACTATATGTGACAATATGATTGGCTGTCAATCAGTTCGGTGTACCCCGCCTCCTGCACGAAGACGGCTGAGGTAGGCTCCAGCACGCCTACCGCTCTGGCCTTCTTGTGTGGAGTTTCCATGTTCTTTACGTCCCTGCTTGGGTTTTCTCGGGGAACTCCGGTTCACAAAAAATGCATGGCAGGTTAATGGAACACTGTTGTGAACACGCATTGCTCTTCATCTTTGTGTGCCCTGCGATTGTTTGGCAACCAGTTCAGGGTGTACCCTACCTACTGTCTGAAGATGGCTAGGGTGGGCTCCAGCCACCCGCGACCCTCGTGAGGATAAAGCGGCTCAGATAATGGCTGGATAATATACTTTTACACGCACACACACACACACACACACACACACACACACACACACACACACACACACACAGTGGTGCACCACATGTAACCTGAAAAGTTATATATATATATACACACACACACACACACACACACACACACACACACACACACACACCTCATTTGCCTAAAGCCAAACTGCGGCCAGGGTCTTTACCTTCTGGTCCTGGGTTTGACACTTCTGGGTGCGGTGAATAACGTCTTTTTGACAGCTCTTGTGGTACTCTTACACCGAGGGAGGCGAGCCAGTCCACAATGTTCTAATGGTGAAGATGGATCAGGCTGTCAGCAATCCACCCATGTGAACTCAGCCTCCTCAGAACTTACTTCTATTGACGAGAGACTATTTCTAAAACCACCATAGAGGAGGTCTTTGACAAGCAGTTCCAGGTTTATGATTTATAAATTAGTCAATTTGTCAGTAGATTGAGACAAAGAAATATGATTTGAGCATGTGTGATTTTGGTGACATTTTTGTTGGGTGAAGTGCCATTAGATTGTTCTCACATAAAATATGTGTCGTCGTGCTAAAAACTGGGAAACACTAGTTCCAGCATATAAACACAGTGACTTCTCTTGTAGATACTCGCGACCACACAGGGAATTACAAGTAGAAAAAGGTGCACGTCTGCATGTGTTGAGTGTTGTTCAAACCCAATGCGTTATCACGATGACATACTGTACCTTACTAGTGTTGCCATAACAGAAGTACAAGCATAGCACCAATCAACTATGTGACCCACACTGTGTGACATAGAGTTGGCGCACATGTCGGATTCCTTCTACCCAGACACAGTTTCTCCACTGTTCGCGGAGTCAAAGAGGCCAGCAGGCAAATGCTGCTCTCCTTACACAACGTGATGGAATGCTATGTACGGTGTGATTCTCTGGATGAGCAAATGGAGAAAATATGTAGACTTTAGATTGGTCTCGGACTGTGGAACATCTGTTATAGTACATATACTCAAGAGAATTTAAATTGACTAAAATAAAGTCTAACTACTTGCCCTTTGAATATGTCTGATTGAGGCTTATAGCTTGTGTTATCACCAAGATATTGTATACTGTACTGCATTCTGATAATGTCAACCGTGACTTTTACAGCCAATTTTTTCCAAACATTTATGTTGAAATTCAAATGGTCCACTGGAAGGTTCCACGGTAATTTAGGGCTTCACCTCTCAATATTGCAATTAAATATGATTATTTTTTCATATATATATATATATATATATATATATATATATATATATACATATACACACACATATATTTTGGGGGGGTGCAGGGTTCGGTGGTGACTCCAATTGAGTAGTGAATGGGCCGTCCAAAATGAACGCAAAATCGGAATGAATTTTCCCATTCGTGTCAGAAAGCATCATAGCTTCTTGTTAAAGAGGAATGTTAGGAGGACCCCAGCGACCTTGTTCAGGATAAGCGTTGTCGAAAATGGATCGATGGGTGGAATGTTAGGAGCGGATGTCTTGTCTCCTTTCTACATGGGGATTACACATTTGCAGAAGCTACATATGTACTACATTAGAGGAAAATATTGGGCTGGCCAACGCCATCCTAGCAACAGGAATATTTGACTGCTTAACGTCTTGCTGTTGGCTGTCCTAGCGGCAAACGAAAGAGTATTTGCAAACATGGACACTGGCCAGGCCTGAGAGACGAACTAGCTTTGGACTCGCTCGGACAAGGCTACAGGCTGGTACAATACAACGGGGATACATTTCAAATGGGACCAAAGAGTAACATATTGGGTTCTGTCATTGGCCAGGGTAAGGCGCAAGAGCTTGGAGGTTACAGTAAGTCATTTTAAACTGAAAATGAACACCTTTCTGTGGATTGATACATGGCATCAACGCCCTGTGTGGGCTACATTAACTCTCCTTGAATGAGATACAGATATATAGATTTGTAAACATATAATGAAAATAAAGCACTCTACAGTATAAGTGCACTCCATTTAAAAAGAATAAGAAAAAGAAAATCTTTATTTGTCTCACAATGGAGAAATTCCCAATTTATAGCAGCAAAATTATGAAAGTAGAAGACAAAAGGTATCTAAATAAATATAAAATATAAAATACAGTATAAATATAAGCATATTACAAAGGGGTGAGTGGGTGCGAGTCCAGGTTTTCAGGACCATCTATTCATTAGCCTTTCTTTTTTTTTTAACCATTTAATATTTTAATCAAGTTGGATTTTTATATAAAGTTTTTCAATAAGTAACCGATGTGAGAGTATTCGCTCATTGACGTGAATGAGAAAGGTAAGGGCAGAATTTGGCTACAAGTCAAGGCATTTATCCACCTACCTTCCTACCTACCTACCGACAGACAGAAATCAACAGTTTTATTTTCTCCAATCGCAGCATTTGCAATTTGAAATTTGCTTTCTCTGACATTGCAATGAATTCGATCGATTGTTCAGCTGTACTCTAATTGGCTAAAAGTGCTTGCTATGCCTCAAATAGTGTCATAACAATGCGTCTTTGACTGAGGTGCAAATGTTTGAGCAGAGTTTCGACTGACGTGTGGCCAGAAACGTACAATCGTATGCAAGCATGCACATACATGTTTGTCCTCATTTATCAATGTGGGAACCCTCCGGTGTCTGAATCTCAGACAAGTGTGCAGGAATGCATGCTGACTCAGGGTCAGCCTTATCCAGCCCCGCATAATCTCCCTGCCGTGTTTGGGTTCCCGCCACAAAATACACTTCTCCCAAAGTCCCAGCACCACTTTGAGGGAGTGTGTGCATTTCAGGATGACGTGAGGCTGGCAGCGCTAATGAGATACATGAAAGGAAATCCCCCCCCCCCCCCCCCCCGCCCCACCACACTGAAGGCCTTCTGAGGCCTCTGACTCCTCGTGGCCGTGTGAAGTCTGAACGAGGGAGCGAGAGTTCCGGCACGTAACCCAAATGCATAGTTGTCACAGTCAAGTCACCACTTGCAACAGCTGTCACACAAAGCTCGAACTCGTTTCAACGCACGGTCCATAGTTATTACACTGTTAAAAGAACAACAGGCAACACCTGACACCTTGGTAAACGATGTTCACAGGACATTCAATTTTCCCCTCTTCATGTCCCCCAGCCCCACCAAAAAAAGAAGACACAGTACACAAATGGAAAGAATCTGACTGCTCAGTAAAATAGGATCTGTTTGCAGTTAATAGCACAAGGCAGCCATACCTATAAAACACAGGTGTCAAAGTCAAGGCCTGGGAACCAGATCTGGCCCGCCAGATCATTTTATGTGGCCCACGAAAGCAAATCAAGTATGTCAAGTTCCACGATGCTTGCTAAAGTCTGAACCAAAATTTCACATTGCCATATGTAATCCACAATAACAGTAATTAGTCTTGATTTTTTATTTTAAAACTAGTTATTCATCAATTTATTGTGCGCTGTGTATGTAATTTATGGAGGGGATTAAACATTGATATGGTTTCCCAAAATTCATTTCCAAGGGAAACCGTAACTACAGTGTGGGCCGCGACAAAAATAAGTTTGACACCCCTGCTATAAAACTTCACTAGGTGACAAGTATCACTCTGTCAAGACCTTCATATTCATTCATTAAAGCGGCTTTAAGGGTGTTTTGCTTTATTCTATTTATATTAGACTGTGACTTACTTCTTTTCATGCATCCATTGTTTTTGGTGCTTATACACGTATGTTGCACATACAGCACATTTGACAATAAAGTTGTACTTGATACTTGATACAGTACTCATTCGGGTCACTGATCAACTGGAGCCTCTCTCGCTGACTTTTGGCGAGAGGTGGGCTATACCATGGACTGGACCATGACAGAATTGAAACACATGGAAGGAGGTACACATCTACAACGGTGAACAATTCGGGCACTGATCCAAATTTGGACAGTTCAGCCATGATGGAGGTCTGGGTTCTACTGAGTCTCATTACATGTGCCCTTCTTCCAAGCCGCTGACTTTGGAGCAGCTGTGAGACAATTGGCCCCATTGTTTTGTGCAATATGAAAGTACTGTACAACAACTTATGTAAGGAGCAATTGAGAACAGCATCAAGAAGTGCACTGGCCGGTACCCACCTTCCGTCAGGTCCTCTTTGGCACAATCGGGGCTTAACTGGCATAGTTGAATGTTGCCATAACAGTAATCCACTTCTGGATCGGAACAAGCAAACTAATTACTGAAGAGATTATGAGGACTTACTTGTGTGGCCTCCCTGTACACCCGATATTACATCACAAATATGACCAAAGTGATTATTTTAATACATTTAATAGTGCACTTTGATTAAACTGTACAGAAATAATATTAATAAAAAAGATAACGTTTTTTTTTTTTAATTTCCGTAACAGAGCTTAACATTTACAATACAACAAAACGATACAAAACAAACATATATCCGAGGTATAAATATATTTGTTTTAAATTAACGGTCATTGCCATGTGTTATTTGGTAGAGAGACCGGTTACATGAACGATATGGACAATGGCTTAAGTGAAGTACTGTACGCATAAAGCGGTGTTAAAACAAGTGAACTACACAGTGACAAGCTTGTCTTCCTTCCTTTTTTTTTCTGCAAAAACACACTAACATGCAATCTGCCTTCGTCTTTACAGTAAAACCTGTAAAATCTCCTCCTTTATAAAAGGACCTTTTCGCTTGCAGTTTTCTTTTCAACGTTGGACGCGTTGTGTTTTCATGCACTACGACAGTCAATATTTGGACATATGAAGTACAAATTAATTTTTGCTGTGGAAAAGTTAAAGGGTGCTTTTTCATGGATTTTGGTCCACTTGTGTCGATTGGTCTTCAACATGAATCATTCCTTGCAATGGAACATTCAGGGAGGCGTCAATGGTGCTTTTGTTGCTGCTTTTGGTGAGCCAGCCACCGCTTTGTATCCTCTCCTCTCCATTCCACATATCAGCTCAACCCGGGGCTAGCACATTCACATCTTTCTTCAACCAGGCACTCATCAATCCACACGACATCATAAATATTGTTTGCGCTTCCTCCCACGCGTTGTAACAAGAGACAAAATAAAAAAGGACGGACGTAAGGCAAAATAGATAGCATTAATATTAAGTGTGAAAAGAGTAGTTAGTGTGTGTACACTGGAGTATGTTGATGCTAACTATTGGTTGCTCTCATTACACATGCAGTCACCTTTGCTTCTCAGAAGCAATAGCACTCTTTGGGTAAAGCCTGTCTAAACGATGTTCTTTGATCCACATAAATACTTAGATGGCAGGACCAGAGGGCATTTTAAACGGTAACATCAAAAATATGGTTTTAAAAAAAATAACAACAAAGTCCTTCAAGTCCAGGAGCCAAGGTTAGTCTTGTTTTTGTGAAGAGGTGGAGGATGGTCTTCATCGCTCTTGGAATGACAAGGAGGGGTCCGTCTCATTTGTCCGTGGGCAACGTGAAGGAGTCGCGAATCCGCGCCACCTCAGCAGCGCACAAGTGTCCGTGCAGTTTGTTGTACCACTCTGGGAAGCGACCCCTGCGTAAGAAGACAACACAGCGTGTCAACATGTAGCACTCAGGCATCATTCGCGAAGGCCTTGCTCACAACAGAGCTTCATCCGGTTCGTTAGCCAAATCTTTTCCCCAAGCTCTACTTTGATTTGTGAGTGTACACAGAAGACATTTCAATCGTAAAACCGTTCGTCGCTGTGCAGACAATTTAAAAGTAAGACGATGGTCTTTTGCGTATGTCACTCGGGGTTGTGCTTTGTGCGCATGTGTGTCACATCACGGATGCAGTCGGTTGACATTAGAGGACGCTTTTGTTTTTGTAATGTGAACGAGAATATAAAGAGTGGGTTTAAAAAAAAAAAGTCAGAATTGGGCATCGCGTCCTGCCGTGTGTGTGACCGCGACATCTAGTTGTCGGGATGAAAACGACACGTAAATGAAATATTATGCACTTACTTCCGTGGACTGCTTTCAATTCCACAGAGAGTTTTGACATCCGCAGCAAATTCTGAGACTAGCGATCAAAATTTTTGTTCCTCTACAAATACTATGCTTTCTTCTTGGTATTTTAGTTCGTTGATTCGTTTTGGTACTACAACAGACTTCTGGTTTGGGGGAGGAGAGTCGTGATTGTTGGTGGAGATTGTTGTGTGTGTGGTCACAAACTATGACAGCAGGAAGGATGCACTTGCCAATTTTTTCCTCGGAATGTGTGTGTGTGTGTGTGTGTGGGGGGGGGGGTCTCTCACTTATGAAACAACATTAGATAAGATGTTTACACACTTTGTGTCTCTGCATTTTACGAGACCAGATTGTCCACTCTGAAGACACATACTGCTTCCACATCTTGTAAAAATTGTATTTCGTAGGATTTCTGCTCTTCGGACTTTGTAAAACCAAGCTGGCTATGATAAAAAAAAGGATTTAGGGGCTGTCAGTGTGAGCAAGGCCTAAGACTAATTTGAATGTCCAAGTACAATAAAAAATCACTGACCTGCAGTCAATTCTAGAAATGTTCGTGAGTCGGGACTTGTTGGCTCCACAGGGCTCAATAAAATAGCGTGAGAGGAGAACGTTGGCGCGCACGCCCACCATCGGCGCTGCGCCGTGATCAACTGATGTAGACACCAGTGCACACGCTCCTTTCGGCAAGTCTGTTACCCATGTTCTGGTGTAAAACAAACAAAACAAAACAAAGAAATAGTTAGACCACAAGTGTGACAAATGAGAGACGGTCAAAATTGAGAGATATTTACCTGAGCACCAGGTGGTCCCTCATGGGATGGGGGGCCATGGTGTTCCGCACGTACTGGTACACCTCGGTCCTCTCATCCAGGCTTTCCACCACACGGCTCTCATACAGGTCCTCATCCCAGCGCGCTTGCTCCCTCAGAATCCGGGTCAAAACCTCTTCTGGAGCTGCAGGCACCTCCACGGTCACTTTCCACAGCCTCAGTGGGAAGCCATCGTGTACCTGAAGGAAGCAACAGCAAGCGCTCACAACCAAGTTCAGTTTGGGGTGGGGGTGGGGGGGCTTTCCCACCCCAACTCATTACACTCAATTAAAACACAATATGTTAGAATACACAGGTGTCTCTCAATCCATCACAAAAAGGTTATTGAGTTCAGCAGATAAATTCAAAAAGTAAATATATCAAGTCGTGTATGTAAGTACAGTATGAAGAGATTAATTAAAGACCTAAAATACTCGTGTGAATGCCAATTCCTACCAAGTTTGTAAATGTAAAAAATATTTGGATTATTTCTTATGTATGCTTGAGCTGTTTTCGCTGTTCTAGACATCAAAATGAATATTTTAGTTTGTGGAGTGAATCTATGTAACATGTTAGGTTCATGTTTTGAATTGAACTAGTCATATAAAGTTTTCCAAAATATTCAAATTTACTGAGCTGCATCTGTATGTCAAGACAGACTTGCAACAAAAATGTGTAGAAATGTCAAAAACCAAAGCAGATACCAGATGGAGGCAGACTGGGTGGAACGGATTTTAAAGTGCGCGCCACCCCCCCAGAACATAATATATATTTCTTTATTGCCATTTTTATTACTGTGCCTTTTTGGCAAAACATCTATTGGAGTAAAGGCCACTTTTTGAGGATTGCTTGATTCAAGAATGTAGTCCTAAATCTGCTTGCAGTGAAACATGCTGTGATAACAAAATGAAAAGACGACGGAAACAGTGAAGTGATTTGGTGCTCTGTACTGTGAATAAAAATAAACTGAATGAAATGTAAAAGCAGATCAAATATAATCAAGACTCCCACTCTTCTGGGAAGACTTTCTGCAAGATGTTGGGAGTGCGGCTGTGGGAATTTTTTTTTTTTTTTTTGGTCCATTCATCCAGAACAACATTTGTTGATGTTGGATATCAGAGAGGGCCTGCTAGTTCCCCATCTCGTGTTCGATTAGATTCTTTCATGTTAAAATCCAACAACCATGCAAAGGGCCAGACAGGGTTTCCACTCTTCTTGAAAAGACTCTCCAAGACTATATCATCCGCACCAATACGAGTCTAATAATCAAAACAAAAACTAATAAATTCCACACCCAAGCTTTGGAAGAATGTTATTTTCTATGATTCCACCTTACATTTTATACATTTAACCAGATTGTTTCAATGTGACCAAATACCATAAAAAAAGCCAAACAACAACTAATGGCTCCTTCACAGCTGCGAATCAATTTTCATGGTTCACCCCAAAGTCGCCGTTTAAAAGAATGAGTCGCTCGCAGACGTCACGCGGGAACGATGGTCTGATATTTCCTGCTTGAAGTCATTAAGAGATGCACGTCCAACCCTTTAGTTTTTCTGATCTAGTGTCTTATGCATGTGATTGCGTCGTGTGTCCTTGATTTATTGATTTATGAAGTGATGTGTTCAGGCACAACGGCCAGCTTGTGTTCCAAGCGCCCTCCAGCCAAGTCAGCTGCTTCCTCCCTTTCCATCAGATGATAAAGATGGCACGTTGAATCCTGAGGCCTTGTGACTTTGAGATAACCCCTCTTACACACTAAACATGGGAAATGTTGCCTTTAGGAGATTAGTGCATGTGTGCATGCGAGTGTGAGATGAGCTGATGTCATTGTGGGACAGGGTCCAGTGCCGGGGAGGGAATGAGAAGTCAAGGGCCAGGCTAGTTTCACACGGACGCGTTTCTCAATACAGGAAACTTTAACTGCTGCTTTTCCACAAGATATTTAGAGAAAAAGGACAGAGAGGAAGGCAGGACAGGAAACAGAGACAGCCGAGAAGAGACTTCGCCGGCCTGTTAACACTCAGGAGACATGCTGGCTGACTGCCGATCCCTTTTTAAAAGCTCGTTTATCAATAGTTTCTAAAGGTTGGGTCCAACCCCCCGAGGCACATACTTATGGGTCCACGCACAAAGCGTTTGAGGTGATGAATTTACCTTACGATAGGCGAGCTCAGCTTGCTCGGGGGTGGAGAAACTGTCATAACCTTTAAACTTGTCTTTGGCCTCCTTGAGGAGAGCGTCAAGGCCGTCGCGCAGGTAGGAGCGGTATCCTCCTAGTCCCGCGTCGCAACCCGACAGCTCCTCCAAGCGTCGCGGTAGCAGAGCCTGCTCTACGTACGAGTTCCTACAGCGACTCATCTCCTCGGGGATCTGCAGGAAGACAGAAAGGCCTTGATTCTTAGTTGCATGGGGTCATCACTGAGGGCAATTTGTACGGTGAACAGGAGGTAACAGTTTGGGTTTGTATTCAGTTCATTTAAATGATTGTTATTATTATTATTTTTTGTGGATTATTACTTTTTGGTAGTTTTTTTTTCAAACTTTCAACTTAATTTTAGCATAGTTTTTTAAAGTTTTTTTTTGAAGTATATGAAATATTTGCCAAGTGCAAGATGAAAAAAAAGGCCACGAAGTATCGTGTGAAAAAAAAAAAAAAAAAGCAAACTACAATTCCCAAAACAAGTGTTTGGCCTTCCTTCCAAGAGCCGTACAGTAAATAAATGAATACTTTTAAAATTGACTTTGACAGTTTATTCATGGAAAAAATCGACAAAGACTGAAACAAAGGACATTTTCGTTATGTTAGTTTTATCTATCAAAATATACATTTTTTTGTGGCTGAATAGTTAGAACCTCACAGTGCAGATCCATGGTTCCAATCCAGACTCTGACCTACCGGTGTGGAGTTTGTATGTTCTTCCCGTGCCTAGGTGGGTTTTCCTCGGGTACTCCGATTTCCTCCCATTTTCCAAAAACATGCATGGCAGGTTACTGTAATGCTCTAAATTATCCCGAGGTGTGATTGTGGATGGTTCTTTGTCGATGTGATTGGCTGGCAACCAGTTCAGACTATACCTCGCCTACTGCCCGAAGACAGCTAGGATACACTCCAGCATGCCCTTGAACCTCCTAAGGATAATTGGATTAGAAAATGGATGGACGGATGGATGGATGGATGGATCTTAATTAACCTCCTAAGGATAATTGGATTAGAAAATGGATGGGCGGATGGATGGATGAATGAATGGACCTTAATGGTCCATGAATGTATTATAATCTGATTTGTTGTCTGATTTGTCTTTGAACAACATACTGTAAACAACTGGATGATGCCCAGTGGGATACATTATGACTTGGTAATTTTACTAAATACGACGTTTCCAATACAGCTCTTGTACAGGTTTTTCATTAGATATATGTGCAGGTATATGTATGTTTCTGTATTTTAAATTCTACTTCCATGGAAAAAGAGCACAGACGTTTTGTTTTTCATTTCCAAGAGCATGACTTAAACCAGAGCTCATGTACGCTCACTGACTTACGAGTGTAAAGCAACACTCATCACCGAGGCAGCAGTCAGTGCAATTACGGCCTGCTTGATGCGGGCTGTGTTATGAGGTTACATAACCAAACATAGCACGCGTGATCGTTATCTTTAAATCTCGCCGAAGGGCAATACATTTTTTTAGAACTTTGCTAATAGGACTCAATACTTTTAGGGCCAATTTTACAAGCAGTAAATTGATGGCTTTCGCATGCACGAGGTCTGGTAGATTACAAATTACAGTTACAGATGAGAGGCCAGGCCTTCCCAGAGAACGGCACTTTACTTATGTCATGGGAAATGGAATCAAGCCCAAGCATTGTAAATAACATGAAAACATGCCATGTCTACTTTCTGGTTTATCTTATCACTTTATCTTCCCTTTGCAGTCTGCCATTTTTCAGGGTCAATTGACACTTGGAAAAAAGAAAAAGCAATTTTAATTTCATCACAAAGGGTTTGCAGAAATGAAAAGAAGTCATTGTCAATTAAGGACTCCTTTTATGAGCTTTGACTGGCAAAGACAAATTCGATTAAAGGCCAATTTTTGGCGAGGTAACTCTGTTAGTGACTACGGGACGGGACGCTATCTTGACAGGAAGCTCTCCCACAATCTGATTAAGCGCTCACTGCTAATGACCCTCAGCGTGTCGCCCCTTTAGAGAGTGCTCTTGCATGTCAGCTGGCAGGGACTGTGCCAGAGTTTGGAATTGAAATTGGATTAGTAATTGTGGAGTAGGCTCATTACTTCCCGTTGATCCGCTCCAGCTGTCTCCTTGTGCACACTCAACAACACTTGCAAAGTTACTTCTGATCATAACTGGACAGCACTGTAGTGGGAAATATTTATCTCGCGTTACCACAGCAGTGTTGAAGGCAAAGCCAGCATGGATTGGATCAGATGGTTATGTAACCGAATGTTTGTTGATGGGACAAACACCGGGATACCAGTGACTTGCTAATAATATTGCAGCTTTAGCAATAGGCAACACGCTGTCAGCAGATACACCTGAGGCACCATTTCAGACTAGAACCCATTTACAGTGTTCCCCAGGCCTACTCGCAATTTAGTTTCAGCAATTCGCTGGAGGTGAAATGAGTTGAGGAGCTTTATTGAGATAAAAATCTTGTGGGATCTATCGACAACTACACACCCTTTGTTAGGGAGCGTGTCGATTAGTTGTAAATCGAATAATGTAATCCTTGATGGGACCACATCCTAAGTTCTATGATTGAGGCTAATTGTTGACTAACTAACCCGGAAGAGTTTTCTGCACTCCTGGATCATGTGCGCCAGGCCGTGGGTCGCGGCCAGGTTCTCGTTCAGGTCTCTCTGGTCCGGCTTTCCCAGAGTCGGTTTCCTATTCATCACCCTGCGAGGAAGAGGAAGAACACTTTAAGATTTGGAAACCGCAATCATCAGAGGTCTTACAGTGAGGGGGGGGGGCCGCTTACACCTGCTTCACAAACTATTTCTTAATGAGTTCAAGACATTTGTGTCATGACTCCAGCTGAGCTGTCTCTCTCATGCTGCACTCTCGTCCCTCTTACCGCTCCATCTACTGTACAGTATCCTGCTCTTTTGTTTCTTTAGTATGACCCTTTTCCTGTTTGTGCAAGGTATGGCAAACATCTTATGTAAGCAGCCACTCACTGTCAACGCCGACCATTGATTTCAGAAAAATAACTGATGAACACATGCAGACAAACACACATACAAACCCACCTTGGTGAAGAGCTCTCCTTGCGCCTCAGGGTGTTGAGATGGAATACAGATGGCGCCAGGCAGACGGCCAGGTTGGTGGGCGTCATCTGGTTCTCTCCGACGCTGGCCGTCACGTCGCTCAACAGGCACAGCAGCGTCCGGAGCGCCTCGCGGTTCTCGTCGGGCAGCAGCAGCACAGCGGCGCGCGCGGCCTGGAGGCGAAGCTCTTTGGGCATGTCTGCATGGAAAGACGTCACCAATCACATCTGTCAGCTTTTGTTATCTGCTTTGTGCATCTGGGAACACTTTGTGAGGACGGAACATGCTTAAGTGGGATATGAGTGGATAAGTGGGTTATGTAAGAGACTGTGTGTGTGTGTGTGTGTGTGTGTGTGTGTGTGTGTGTGTGTGTGCATGATGTATGGCTTGACGTCGTCTTCCACCTTATGCAAACACTTCCTAATGCTGTCATCTTGATCATAACGTAATAAGACTGAAACAAGAGTGAAAGGACAATGAACCAATTCTGTAAAAGTGACTCATCCTATTGGCATTTCCTGCACTCGCCTTGTTTGTTTGCTTTGTAAATGTTGAAATTCTTGCCCTGTAGGCCTGAAAAAAAAAAATTGAAGCGGGGGGGGGGGGATCAAGGCAGCAGTAACTTATCTATAAGGACTTGGGTTTTGTCACCGAGAATACTGTTAAGGTGCCCTTGAGCAAGGCACCAAGCGCCCCCACTCCTCCCCCCCCAGGGTCAACGTGCAACACTTTGAGCGCGCTCCTTTCGTTCAGACATATCTCCTTGCTTGCCGACATGTGTTTGATCTGGTTGCCTGTGTAGTGTGCAACACCAATATACAGCAGAATGTGACTTGAATTTTCCCTCAGAATAGAAAAAAATCGTAACCAAAATGCACCCCCGGGACAAATGTGCGCATTCTTACACTGATAGATTTGAAGAAAGGTCTCGGACAGTTTGCTGGTGAGCAGTGGTTCAGGCAGATCTCGGAAGTACTGTTTGAGCATGTCAGCGACATCATAGGCGGACTGGCCCTCGTAGGTGACCCCGCCCCCATCGGCCCCACTGGCCTCATTCATCTGACGCAGAGCCTGGATACGCGACTTCACTCCCGACTTTCTGAAAAGACCAACCTGGACAAAAGAGATACAGAAAGAGTTATGCCCTGCATTTATATGGAATGTGCAAGCAAGGTTTTGAAGCCCAATCCCCACGGGTATTAGACTCGGTATTGCGTATCAACAATAATCTGGGCATCAAAGAAAACCAATAAAAAATGTGGTTCTTGAGGTGCTGTTCCTCTGTTGAATAATACAAATTCTTACAAATCTCATAAATCTCAAGCTTACTGCCAGTATGTTACATTACACCAAGTTGTGTAAACTCTTTAATAATGAAACTGTTCGCTGTGAGGGAATTCATTAGCCAACTTTATGAATTTATGTCAGGTGTACAGTACAGGCTTGAAAAAAAAATATTCACGAGGAGTCTTTTAAAGACGCACTTTATCTCCTCAACTTTGTTTTGCTGTTAAACACAGTGCGACGCTCATCCCCTATTTTTGGAGGTACGTGCAGTCCTACTCTTTCTCATTGTTTTTGAGTTAGACAGAGTGATGATGTAACATCTATGGGCTGACTCGCTCTGAGCCCCTCCAGCGCGTGTGTGACGGAATGGAAAAATATGGACACAATTGGAAACACACCGAAATTAGCTTTGATTGAAAAAAAATAAAAATAAAAAAAGATCCGAAAGTCTTTGTGTTATGTAACTATTCTTCCTGAAGAAATAGGTTTAAAAAACCGCCCAAATAAGACATTTGTTGAAATACCAGAGTCGATTATTGAGAGAGTCCCTTGTGTGCTAGGTGTGTGTAGCAATACCTGGTCTAAGCACTGGTTTCGCAAGTAGCGCATCGCTTGCTGGATGCCTTGAGGGAGGGGCTGACCAGTGCGCTGGACGATAACTAGCAGCGGAACACCGAAGACATTCCTGCCTTTGTAGTCGCGCACCTTCATTCGCTTCATAAACTTTGGAACAGCCCTGCAACAAAAAGACACAAGGCCAAAAAAAAAAAAACAGCTCATCAATATTTACGATGACTCTTTCAGGGGCAAATGACTGCTCATATGTTGACGGGTCAAGAGTAGAGTGGAACCTACTTAAGTCTCAAAACCATGAGCTACACTTTGGAATTCAACCAAAATAAGCCCTTCAAGTGTACACAATGACCATGAGACATGTCAATTGACTGCCTGCGTGTTATTCTTTCTCTTTGTCTTTCATGTAATTTGTTTTTCCAGTGTGCCTCGACAAGGGGTGCTGAGAGAAGAACATGACGAGAAGAAGGAAATGCAGAGGAAGTTTACATGTCGTAAACTCACTCGCTGCAGTTGTAATGCTCCAAAGTTAGCATTCTTCCTTCTGCTTATTAATTAGTGACACTTGTGAACGTTTTAACGATCACACCAATCATTCCATTATTACTCAACAAACATTGGAATTGCAGCTTCACAAAGTTAAATTCTGATGAATCCAACTCTCCAAGTGAAGACGCTTGGCCGTGTGAGAGTATTTTTTATGTGCAAGTCCACGGAGGCAAGACGAGCTGCTGCAGAATCCTGTCTCCGGGTTTACGAGAGGGGAGGATAAACAAGGCTGGGAGACGAAGCTTTTGGAGTTGTGGTGGGATGTATTGTAACAAAAGGGGAACTTCATTCACACTATTTGTATCTGCTTGTGTGTTTGCTGTGTGTCCATGCACCCTGGTTTAGCACTCGCACTGAAACGTATCATCAGATTTATGACTCTGCATCCTTTTAGCGGGGGTGTCAGAGTGATTAAGATAGCAATGTTTCTAAGTGATTCTGAACAAGCTCATCTTTGTCAGTGGCGATGCTCGGAAGCCTCAGACTTCTGAAAACCACATTTTGGGTGTACATAGCAATGGGAGCAAATTATGATTCAGACTTGGAATTCTGAACATGCGGAGGGCTCCAGCTGCCAACAAGTGGCCTCTGTCTTTGAGCACAGCCCCAAAGTTCTATTCTTGTCCTCAAAAATGACCTTGAGCTGTAAAAAACTGGACCCAGAAAAACACATAAATTATGACTCCATTTTCTTCACAGAACTTTTCTGTATAACCTTCTCATTCAGACAACAATGTATAGCACTGTTGCTAGAGCTTTATCTGCATTTTTTTTTTGTTTTTGTTTTTTTGTGGATTTGCTGTACTTCATTTTTTTGTCCTATAAATATCTCGAGCTTGTGGATTTCCCCCTGCAATTTTGGTCCAAGTCACATGTGTACATTTCAGTTAAAAAAAGAAAAAAAAAGGAAAAAGAAACTACTTGCAGCTGACTACAGAAAATGTACGGTATACTCAAAGCAATTGGACAATTGTGAGTAGAATGAAGGTGGTTTAGATGCAAAGGTGGAGGATCATTGTTAAGGACAGATCTTTCCAGCCTGCAGCTCTTGTAACACCATGCGTGTGAACAACAATGATTGCCCCTTCGTGTAAAAGACAATGTAAGCCCCTTCCCAGCAATTACAGGTCTGGGAAAAGAATGTGAAACCTAACCTGTGACGAGAGCCGTCACCCCACTATACAATGACCTGCAGATGGAGGAAACTGAGACGAGGTTGGGAGACGAAAGCATGGATTGAGTCTCGGACTGCCATTTTTTTTTTTTTAAATCTGTGCCTGTCTTCACACCATATCAAGCTGTGCGCTTCTCTTTGTGTGGTGTCGTCCAGCCAACTCACCAGCTGAAGCCATGTTTGTTTGTTGGGGTGTGCCTCTCCAGCAAGGCGGTGAGCTGTAGCAGCGAGAGCTTCTGAAGAAGATTCATCTGCAGTACAGACTGGCAGCTAATCTGGAGCTGAGCGGAGGCCAAACTGGGCCGATGGGAGTTATGGAAGCTCAACCAGCGGAGTTTCTGTGGTCTGGAGAACGGGGTAAAAAAAAAAAAAAAAAAAAAGAGGGAAATGGCAGATGTTAAGAAGAAAACTGGCTCGAGCAGAAGCAGTTGTGCTTCTTCTTTTGCATCCAAACTAAGGTCATAATTTACAGCCACACACACACACACACATATATAAACACACACACACACACACACACACACACACACACACACACACACACACACACACACACACACACACACACACACACCGCTTGCAGTGTTATCAAGCAAGTGATCAGTTTTAAGGATTACAGGGATTTGTGTACACATCAATCAGGAGATTGTCGAAAAAGCCCTGTCACCAAATGTAAGGCTGTCGGTGGATTCCTAGAAAAGCAGCAACGGTCCCCCTGGAGACCAAGCAGCATTCCAGAGCATTACATAAGGAGAGCAGTCGAAGCGTGTCTCCTGTTCATCCTTTGCTGTCACCAGCTATTGAGTACTCTTTGTGCTAGTAGACTTTGTTTTGATGTCAGACCCTGATGTCTTTTTCCATTCGCATAAAATGAAGGTAATGTTTGCCAGAAGGTTTACAGAATCAGAGGTCTGTAGAGAATCACGCTATTTTTTTCTTCTAAAAATTGTCACTGAACTATGAATAGTTTGTCCAAACTGTACATTAAAAAATCAATGGTAAGACACTTTCGAGGTTGTTGACTGACCTGCTGGTTCTTGTTAGTGATGCCCCAACTCCAGAGTCCCTCCTCTCCCTCAACCCATCCTCGCCCTCCCCCAGTGGGTTTCCTGTGCTGTCTTGGTCACTTCCATTTTCAGTCTCTTCTAGATGATTTTGTAGAGGGGAAGATGGGCACGGTGAGCCAGAGTCCAACGCTGAATCTGAGTCTCCTTCCTCCTCCTCCTCCTCCTCCTCCTCATCTTCCTCCTCACCAGCCGCCACAGCCTCGGACCAGGCGTTCACGAAACGCTGCAGGCCACTCACATGTTGGAGCACTTCCTCCAGTTTCCGTTCATCCCCCTCCGCAGCCTCGTCTCGCGACATGTATGGGACATTGTCATAAAAACTGAGGCGGCTGTCCACTGAGCTGGACGAGACTCGACGTAGGCGTCTACTTTGCCGTCCTCTCAGGATCACGGAGTTTCCGTTGTCATTACCGTTGTTATTGCGCGAACTCCCGTCTTGCAGAGCTTTGGGGAAAGTGCCTGGCTTGTGACCCTCCGGTAAATAGAAAAAGATTCTGCCTTCGTCTTCTTCTTCCTCTTCCTCTGCTTGTCTGCCATTCTCCTGAATTCTGTGGTTGTTTCTTCGGTTCTGCTCATCAATGCTCACATCAGTATTTGCTTGGCATGGGATAGGCGGGGCCGATTTGGGCGTTGGCTGCCGATCGGATGCTTGCTGGAGAATGCTGAAGGGATCAAAACCCTCCAAGTACATCCCACCTCTCTTACCGGAGCCTGCTGCGGTGCTGTGGCTACGAGCGCGGGTCACTGGGCTCGGGGTGCTCACCGCACTGCCGCTGCTGGCTTCCGATTGGCTGCTCCCAGTGCTTCCAGTGCTACCGTTGCTCGTCTGAGTCGAGTAGGACACAGAACGATTCCTGTTAAGTGTCATAGTCTGGGTTGGATGGTGCTGGTGATTAAGGTTCTGGTTGAGGTTGAGACTTGGGATATCCACACAGTTGAGTCTCCGCAACTTGTCATCATCAAGACCCTCTTTGATGACAGGGCCGCTGATCTCGATCTTCCCACCACTGATGCTCCCTTTCTTCTTTCTCTTGGAGGTGGTGCCACTGCGGAGGCGTAGACTCTCCATCCTCTTGAGGAAGCTCTTGGCTCGTGATCTTGTGCTTTTACCACTGCCACCGCCACGATCCAAACTTCCTCCGAGTTCTCCCATTTTCAGATCAAAGGTGAACTGTCCGAGCTCCAAGGGAGACGGAGGAAGCCCATCAGACAGAGAGTCCTCATTAGCACAGACTGACCCGCAGGTGCCTGATGATGAACACATGCTCGCTACAGAGCTCGCACGCGTGGCTCCAACGGCAATGGCTTCGTTTGGGGAATGAATGGTGGCGTCACAACTCTTCTCCTCTACTCTTCCGCCACTACCACTGCTATGGATGGAACTCACTTCAGGTTGCTCACTGAGATCAGTCAGCACACTCTCCGAACTGTTTCCCTCGCACAAGGCCAGCTTGGTCTTTTTGGATACTTGGTCCTTTGCTGAAGAGGATTGCGCACCATCTGTGTACAATGAGGAGAAAACCTCCAGGTCCTCCATCCGGGACCAGCGCTTGCTGTCTCTCTGAAATGTCCAGCGGCCACTGATCGCACACGGCTCATCCTCATCGGAGTCTTCACTCTGGATAATGGACAGCATGACAGTAAATTATTTCTCTCTTCCAGACGCTAAACAATACATTCAAGACGTATATAATTGTCATCATTGCACCAAGTTGTACAGGTGGCGAAATTCTCTTAATTCTCAAAAAACCCAAGAACCTCGACCACCTGATGCATATAATTTACAGAAAGTTCATTCATGTTGACCAGAAATATGCTCCATCACTCCCTGACTTTCGGAAAAGACATTTGCATACCATAAAGGAGGCACATTTACTGAGCATGCATCTTCTCTAAATGCACACATCCCCCACCTTAGTTCATCTATCTCAGGCCCAAGAGCAATTTCAGCAAATTCCATTCTGACCCCAGTAGATTGCAATCCAGCCAGACAGTTCCCCTACGGTCTTTATCCAATCTGTTGGTATTTTAGCTGTGTCAGACAACCTCACTGATACCGCTTCTTTCATTCTACACTTAAGATTCGGTTCTCCCAGATTCCACAGGTGACCTCGCCTCCCCATGGACACTAAATTAGACAGTAACTTAGTTGACCCTTAACCTATGACGACCACAACCCCTTTGTAAAGATACAATGCTTGCAAATGAGTAGTTACAATCCAGATCAATTCTTCAAAAGACATTTTTGTAGCTTATGTTAATTAAAAGTTACAAAGATTTTGCGAAATGTAAAACACATGTTTCATCAGGCTTTTGATTAGCATTCATGATTTATAAAAAACAATCAAAGGGGGTTGGGGGATATTTTAACACATTCCACAGTGGCTTTTTACTGATGTTATGTTTTTTAGAATGTGAGATAACAATAGACAGCAGCTGATAGGCCAAATACACTTTCACAAACATTTGGTCACGCTTTAAGATATCTTATCATCAATTCATTAAAGCATTCCCAGCAACGCCGGGGATTGTGATCACTGTTCAGAATGAAATCTATTGTTACCGACAGGTTGGATCAAGACTGAACGGAGTTAAGATCATCACCTGCCACCGTGGGGACCGCAATTCAAGACCATCCCCCACGGACACCACAACTTTGGTGTCCGTGAGCAAGATAAGCTGAACAACTCCCTGGGCGCTCAACTTGCTGTTCTCCACTACTATAATGGGCCAAATGCTCAAATGTTTTTCTTCAACAACAGTACATCACAACTGACGATGATTCTGGTCGATTACCATACCACAGAGGGCGGAGCCAAGAATCTGAGAGAGCCATGAGAGGGATTGGGGGGGGGGGGGGAATCAATGCATTCCTATGCTGTATAAGGGCTTGTTTGTCAGCCCACTTGGAAGGCAAATGACCTCTTTGACTGCCCAACTCTGAAACGAAAGGTGACACACAGAGGGTCATCGCAATGAATAGCACCACACACGGGACAAGGGTGTTGCTGTGTAGCACTTAAGACCATTAGGGAATTAAGGTTAATTTGCTTGAAAGACAGCAATTCTTGTCTCAAAGTGGCCATCTCTGTTCAGGTTCGACATGACTTGGAACACACAGATAGAAAGAAGCATGTTATATTCAATCAAGTGGACAGTTTTTCTTTTGAAGGGGAAATCTGACACATTTTGATTTATATTCAAGCTTTTACTCCATTCCCTTTGGGCTCCTTGCAGTTCCCTTGATTAAGAAACAATCAGGTTGCTGCTCATTCAATAATGTAAGAGAAAACACAGCTTTCTCCTGTAGCTGGACTGATTGTTGAGGTGATGAATTGCAAATGCGGTTGCAGAGAATGAGTGATCTTTCGTCTGCATGTGCACTTTAAACCCACCCTTTTTCTTTGCGGTGATATCTCCAGTCTCATTAGAGCACACTTGTTGAGGGTTTTGAGCCTCCTGCAATGAAACACAAGCATGCAACAGATTATATTTAAAATAGGCCCCGCAACACATTGGACGTAGGATAGAAGAAAGGCGGGAATAAAAAGAAAAAGACAGCAGCCAGTCATCTCTCAGGCTCCTTAATGAACTGCTAATCCCCACATGAGCGGCAAGCGAATGAGAGGGAGGCAGCAAAAGGGAGAGAATGTAATCTGCTGAAGTGACTGCGAAATCTTGGGGAGGGGGGGGGGGGGCAGAAAGCTTATCCCCCAGCCACCTGGTGAAGGGGAGAGAGAGTGGCAGGGTCCCTCTGGAGAGCTTTTACAGGCGATCACGTAACAATGGGGAGATGAAGGGATGGAAACGGAGGAATAGTTTGGCAGGAGGAGGTGGGGTGGCAGCAGCTGGGGGGAAGCGACATTGATATGATCGCTTCCAGATGTGTGAAGGCACACCTGCTGTGCTTTATTACTGATAAATTGAATTTGATGAAGCCAGCGTCACGAAAAGCCCATTAACCTCGATCACCTCCTCCGCCTCCTGTGACCACTGTTACGGTTACTTTCATGGGCGCAAAATGGGCTTTTTTAAAGCACTGAATCAATTTCCTATGTAGGTTGTGGCTTAGTCACACACATACAATTTTCAACAACTTAAAATACAGAATGTACTGTCAAGAACGATGCGTGACTATGGCAACCTGTAGTGAGTTCTGTGCTTTCCTTGAAAGATTTTTCTTTCCCTCAGAGGGCTGTTATGACTGTGAAAAGCATATACAGTAAATGCATAGTCACCTCAGCATAAATAAATAACTATTGTTCAGTTTATATTAATAAGATAAGTTAAATGGTGAAAAAATGTGATATCTGGTCAAAGTGAAGGTAAAAAGACATCTTGGTACATATTGTCTGTTAAAATAAAAAACAAATGCATTTCGCAAGAAATATGAAACAGACACATTTTATTTTTTCAGAGTGTGGAACAAAGTAAGCCTGATCTAGCCCCAATGCTTAGCATCACAAAACAAAAGAGTAACGGGGTAACAGTAAATGAGAGCAATCTACTTATCGTGTCATTCTCTCATCCCCTCAGCAACTTCCCAAACATGCTTTATCTTGAAGTCATACCCTCATGGTTTCATTTGGGTAGCACCGAAAGATAATTACAGAAAAGAGGCAGTGGAAGCAGCAGGAATGGATCATAACATCAGAGGAAGGAGAAAGGATCAGTATTAGCACGAGTCCCACCTGCAGAGAGCTTCAGTGGCATCTCGATCAAGGAAGTCGTGGTCCCTGGTGACTGAGGAGATGTCAATGGGAAACTGGGCATCTGAAGGGAGAAGGGTCAATGAGTTGAGATCAAACTCAACAACACACACTCAAACACCCACCGAGGTCTTCCGTCCCCGCTTCTCCCCCATGCAGCCGGCATAAAAAGCTACAAGAGGAAGTGGCATCTTATCCGACCAAACAAACCCAGCTGCGGCTTTCAGAGGCAGCAGGCAGGGGGGATGTGGAGCACTGAGCGATTGATTGAAGAATGACAATAGGCACTCCGCCGCAGCTTGGAGCTCCTACTTCCGACCGATTCTTTCTGCTCTCCAGTCAACCTCATGAACAGCAAATCGCCGCGCAAGTAAGTGCACACAGGTCCGACACTGAGACACTGACAGAAGGTGCTAGGCTAACATTCAAGCGCTTGTTGGAATGTTCCGGCCCAACCCCGAATGGGAATCTTCCATCTAAACCCTGAGGGGAGTGATGATAAGGCAACACTATTGAGGGAATACCAGCACTTTGAGCTTTCTGTACTGACAGAGGCCTATCAGTTTGCTTATCTTTAGAGGGGCAATCGTCTTGACAGTAAGGACAATAGAGCTGGATACAAGAGAAGAGAATGTGTCATCTCATCCGCACACATTCCTACCTGTGTGTAGCGGGCTAAGTTGTGAAAGCCTGCAAAGTGATGGATTGGTGGTTTTCAATTTGTGTCCGATTCACTCCACACAGGTGTATAAAAAATAGTCTCATCACCTACGAACAACAAAGAGCCGTTTGGTCCAATAGAAAACCTTTCACGGTTAAGTGGGAATGAACTAAGAGCTGCTGACAAATAAAACTTTGACTTGCAGTTACATGAATGTGTGTGTGTGCGTGTGTGTGTTTAGACAGCTGCCTCCTCCTCCTTCATTCTCTCCGGGCCACTACTTTAGCTCGTCAGCTGCTTTGTCCGAGTACGTTTGTTCAATAGCAGCGCAACAGCTGACTGAGGAAAAAAACACAAGTTAACACTTTCTGACAACTATTACAGACTTTCCTGTGAGGAGCCCCCCCCACCACCACCACCACCACCACCATCCCCACTCATCAGGAATGTTTTTCCTGTGGGAGGTATGCACCAAAACGCACACAACTATGCATAATTCCCCCCAAAAAAGGGTAATTACATTAGCCGAAAGAATAGAAAAGGTTCTACTCTCAGTTTGGTCAAATGTCATGCAAAATTAAACCAAATGTGCACTCCTTTGATCTCGATTAAATCTAATACAATTAGGTCAGTCTGAGAACTCAGACAACCAGTAATACTTAGGCTTGAAGGTTTGTTTGTGTGACTTAAAAAAAAAAAAAAAACTTTCCAGAATTCTCACAGTTGCAACTTCACAATTGCAACTTATCTCTCACGACCATCAGTCGGACGATGCTGACCTTCATAGAGCTGGGCATACTGTGGGAAGCCTGCTGCTCGGAGCCAGGTACAGGCCTCTTTGGCTTCAATCTCTGCAGAAGAAGAAAAAAAACCCCAAAAGAAACCACAGGCTTGTTAGATTGAGCAACACAACTCATAAAAAAATCTGATTCATACCACACACATACTGATTATAAATAAAAATGACAGGTGAAGAGCATGTGAAGACAACTGCATGACACAAATTTTATCATCACAAAGTCCAATGTAATTGTTTGCATTTTATTGAGTGATCGATAAGAGACTGCCACCACCACCACCATCCCCACTCATCAGGAATGTTTTTCCTGTGGGAGGTATGCACCAAAACGCACACAACTATGCATAATTCCCCCCAAAAAAGGGTAATTACATTAGCCGAAAGAATAGAAAAGGTTCTACTCTCAGTTTGGTCAAATGTCATGCAAAATTAAACCAAATGTGCACTCCTTTGATCTCGATTAAATCTAATACAATTAGGTCAGTCTGAGAACTCAGACAACCAGTAATACTTAGGCTTGAAGGTTTGTTTGTGTGACTTAAAAAAAAAAAAAAAACTTTCCAGAATTCTCACAGTTGCAACTTCACAATTGCAACTTATCTCTCACGACCATCAGTCGGACGATGCTGACCTTCATAGAGCTGGGCATACTGTGGGAAGCCTGCTGCTCGGAGCCAGGTACAGGCCTCTTTGGCTTCAATCTCTGCAGAAGAAGAAAAAAAACCCCAAAAGAAACCACAGGCTTGTTAGATTGAGTAACACAACTCATAAAAAATCTGATTCATACCACACACATACTGATTATAAATAAAAATGACAGGTGAAGAGCATGTGAAGACAACTGCATGACACAAATTTTATCATCACAAAGTCCAATGTAATTGTTTGCATTTTATTGAGTGATCGATAAGAGACTGATCACGAAGGGCTTTCAATCGAGAATTGAGCCTGGACAAGCTGCATGAACCACTACGCTACCAATGAAAGTGAAGTCCGAAGTCTGCTCAGGTAAAGCTCCGGCTAGTTTTATCAGAAATGGATGGATGGGTGGACATGCAATTCCACACACATTTGCAGCTTACCAAATTTGAACCTGTTGACCCCATTAGTGATCTCACACTTGGTCATTCGCCTCTCACATGGTTTCAAAGCTAGAGCTCAAAAGCATCCTTCGTGCAAATGGTGCTAACCCCCCCCCACACAACAAGAGTGTGCCACTTAAGCTCTTTAGCCGATACGTTGATGCTTTTTTTCACCTCAAACTCTCAAACAGTGCAAAGGTCTGTTTTGACCATGTTCCTATTGACTAATAATTAATATCATGTAATCATAATAGACGCTATCATAGACAGGCTCCAAGAACTATACAGTCTCACAATCACAAACACATGATAGTTAGATTTTTATTTATTTCTCAGCAGTAGGCTACCATCTGTCAAAGTTTTGTAGCTCGCATTTAAAGTAAATGGTACAAATGGGGGACAACAGTAGCAAGCATCTCAATTACATGCGAACGCCATTTAGCTGATATATGTCAAATGGTTGCCCACACTTCTGTCTCCTCAGTTGACTACCCTCCCCTCACCCTACACACACACACATGCAGTAAGTGTTTTTTGTAGACAGAAGACAGACAGGGTCCTGTCTGACGTGTTGTGACAGCAAGCACGAATGTAGCACGGTCATGAGAAACACTTGTCAACAAAACGAGTGTTACAAAGGCAGGAAGGGATGGCAGTAAAGATCCCAGATGAAAGTGGGACTGTATGACCTGTAAATGAATAGTATGTGGTAAGATATCAAAGAACATCTACCAAAGTGTGAATTTGCTCCTCGTAAGAGCCGCAAACCGGGTAACCTTTGAAGCATGAATTTATACTTTCACAATCCAGTCATAACAAATGTTTATGGCGATTACAGGAGAACATCTTCAACACAATTCCGCTATTCAAGATGGGTGACGTGGATAACAGGCATGAGTGAAATTGAATGTGTTGTAATAAAATGTGACTAACAGCTGACTTTTCATGCTGTAAGGAAAAATATGGTTGACACATGGGGATCGTAAGAGCGCTGCAGCTGCTATGAAGCCTCCAGTCTCTATATACCATATCTATATATTCATTTACATACCAACAGCAAGCCCAGACGGCAGACAAACCCACTAACGATAAGGCGTGACACGATCAACGCAGGGTCTACTCTTCCCCTCAGCAGGGGCCTGGCAGCTCTTGAAGCAACAAGTCTGACACCGGCATGCACCCGTGTTTTCCAATAAAAAGTATGTTTAACACCCATTTGATTTGACCAAATGAGTTGTAGTTGTCACAGCCATTGTGCAAAGCGTGTCTGTGGCTAAGTGAGCACGTGTGTCTGCATCGACAGTAATAAAAGAAGAAGGAAAGTATGAAATATTTGAAAGGATCTGGAATTCTGGAGTTTTCTTCTTTGTAGGCACATACATCGGTGTGTGTGTGTGTGTGTGTGTGTGTGCGCGCGCGCGCGTTTGCAAGGTCCATCCTCATGTTTAAAGACAAACCAGTCTAAAGACAGTAGAGCTATTAAAATGCAAATGCCTGCAAACACATGGTTAGGTTTCAACCCCCAAATCTCCCCCGAAAAGAATATGAGATCCAATAAGTGGCTTAGAAGAAGGGCTATCGGATGACACAGCCCATGTGTCGACTGCTGGGCAAATTGACTGCAGTGCATTTTGGTGCGCCTCAAAGACAAAATACGACAACAGCAGTCACAGCAATCACAATTATTCAGACAATAATAGTCCTAGATTTTCATTCATTCATTGACTCAATAGGAATAGTTTTCTTTGTTTGGTTTGCAACAGGAAGCAGACAGGTCATGATGAATCTGGCACAAACATTCCAACAATAGGCCTTCGCTAAATCATCCAAATGTTCGCAGACCCTACCAATGTCACAGAATTGCAACCCCAACCCACCCCTGCTTCCACAATGAAATCAGGTTGTTTCGTTCGATTTTATTCTTATTTACTTTTTTTGGTCTTCCGCACTGTCCGTCCCAATTCCTTTGCCCTCGCCAGGGAACGACCTCACTTCCCCTTCCTGCTTCCCTCACAGGAAGAGAGCCGAGTGGCGCTGCAGTGGCCGCTGACCACCAGTCTGTAAGGCCCTGCCTTCGTTTGTTCCTGGCTAGATAATAGGTGGGGAGGCAGCCAAGGCAAACAATGGCTTCTGGGATTGTGTGTACACACCAAACGTCCTCACGGTTGCGATGGCTGTTAAGCCATAAATGTTTTACAGCACCGTTTTACCGGTAGAAATAGAAACATTCTGAATCTTGATAACAACTTTGCATTTGATGGCAGGTGCTAGGATGACGGAAGTACAACACATGAAAGCACACGGACCAGACCTACAGACTCAAGGCCAAAAGCAGCAGGGAAATGACTACGTATCATGGGGAAGTTATGATTCAAACTGACCACAGAATTCCTTCGGTGCATATTCAGGACAAATTCCTCTTCATCTTTAGCTTGTTTATGGAGTGACAACTGCTTTTGAGGATGAATGAGGAATGAAAGAACACGTGGAGGATCAAGGGAATCTAAAACACTGCTCAGTTGACAAGTACTTTGTCAGCCCTGTGTCAGTTTGACCTAGTTGACTTCGGCCTTGGAGCTCAAGGAGGAACATAAGGCAACAACAGCGAGCAGTTTCCTGACTGCAAATGGTCACCCTCTCCTCTTATAACTCTAACTTGACTACATTCTATCTCTGAATAAATTTCACTTTACTTGCCCTGATGAAATGACGTCTCAACTCTTATGTCCAGTGTAAGAGACCGAGATACAGAGTTCACCAAGAGTACTCTGTATGTCGTTAAAAAACTGTGACAATACTGTACCGGGAAAAAGAAAGAGGGAAGAGCGATGTGAGTGACTCTCAGTGCATGACTAATGAGAACCATGCTGGTGCTAATAGGAAATACATTAAAACCTCCAGTGAATTTTCCCACTAAACTTTTTTAGAATAACCAGTGAGTTACAATTGCTGCTCCCCAGCTACTTCTTGGCCAATTCTAAAATTAACCGTTGCGGTATTTTCTTTCCTTTTCTTTTCGGTACTCTCAACGCCTCTTCTCCCCGGGTTCATTTCAACTGCGCTCACCCCTTCTCTTCTTTTCTTTTCCTGTGGCAGGAAATTCTCACAATTGCCGGCCAGATTTCCCTTCCATCACAGGAGGCCACGGGGTCTTGCTTGGCCAATTCGGAATGCTCAGATCCAGTGGGACTTTGTTCAGCGGCTCACAAACAAAGGATGCTGCCTCCCACCTCAAAGGCTCGACTGCAGGTCATGAGCCCGAATACAGTTATCACCGTGGCTGAGGCTTTGAAGTTGGCAGATTGAAAAGAATGCTTGACTAACAACTGTCATGAGGCTTATCTGCAATAACCTAATCGCTTGTAGACCTTACAGCGCCAGAAGTGACACGACCCCAAAATGCAGTCAGGGGGGTTCTTATCAACCGCGGGACTGAGGAGCTCTTCTGAGGGAGTTGCAAAGTGGGTCTAGACAGGAGAGGTGATAAATGAGATGCGGCTCAAAAGCTACCAACAAGGAGATATACTTTGACATGAAGTTATGATTCCGCTTGTCACATGGACAAACAAGATGGTGTTGACATTAAATGCAGTATTTCTATGGTCTGACTTTTCTGAAAGCTTTGGTTGGTGTACACCTCCAAGTATGGTACATTGTGTTTAGCTAGACACATTGCTGTCCTCAAAGAATGGCTACAGTGATAGGATGTATGATGATTGAAGTGGCAAGAAAAGTAAATTGCAGAAGAATTTATGCCATTTGTTTACAGCACATAGAATGAGGTGGTTGGGAGTTGATGACGACAATCGGGGCCCATGACTGACAGGGTATAAAAATTTACTCCAGTTCTGTTCTGGAATGCAAAAATGGTCGATGGCATATTTTTTTTTTTTTTCTGAGTGGGTATCAAGTTATTCCATGTTTGAGACAGCTGGTGCACCATGAGAAAACCTGGCTGCTGCTCGCTGACTGAGACAGTGGCAGCACTATCACCATCTGGCTTGCCTCAAGCGATGCCCCCACAACCACACATGCAAAAAATAACGAAGCTACAAGTATGGTCCTTCTCAGTTTGAGACACATGCAAGCATGCATGCGTAGGCACAGCTGCGTAGATCATTGGCGGTTAATACCAATGGACACTGTGCTCCCTCGATGATAGATTTATGCTCACACAGAGTGTCTAAAACCGGGGATCAGGTGACCATGCGTATTCAAACTAATGTAAAGCTTTCCACAGCCAGATGGGAGTCTACCTAACCAGGACCCACTTGATACATTTGCCTTGCGGCACCAAAACAGTGCTTTCTTCAGCAAAGAGGTGACAGCATTAATGCACATGTGTGTCTTCTCACGGGATGTGAGCCGTGCGCCAGCTGGATGTGAAATCCTGCAGATAAGGCCTCAGCTCACTTCCTGTTTCACAAAGCAGAGAAGATGAAGCAGGTTTCCTTCACTTTATTTCTCTCTTTACAACTAAATCACACAGACATCCAGCCCAAAACCTGACTTGAGGTTTGTGAAACATTCGACAGCTAGATCACTCATTGTTAGTATTGTAAACAATGCCATGGTTTTGCGCTGTGATGCCGTGATGTCTACAAGTGTGTTGGAGCCTGCT